ACACTAGGAATTTTGTTAGAGATTAGACCTAGATTAGAAATATGAGACAATGGCTCTGCTATAAACTCTGCAGCCAACTTTACAAAAAAATGGATCCAGGTTATCTGGCCCTGCCGCTTTTCTGGTGTCTGTTTTTCAGTTCTCTAAGAACCTCAGTTGTACAAATAGGGGAAAAGTTAAAAGAGGTGGAGTTACCATCATTATTGAAAAACAGTTCAACCATATTAGCATTTAGGCGGAATGAATTTAAGTCATCAAATAGAGAGCCTACAGAAATAAAATGCTCATTAAAATAATTTAAAACTGCTAATTTATCAGACACAATTTTACTTTTTTTTTCAAACAAAATTAGGAAAGTCACTCAGTGGCGCCTGTTCAGTAGCTGATTTAACTCTTTTTCAAAAATTTCTTTGGATCGTTTACGTTTTTTGTCATTTCGGCAAGGAAATAGTCTGACTTTGCTTTCTTAAAGCTACAGAGTGTAATTTTCAGCGACATCTAGCGGTCAGACTGCAGACCGCAGCAACATGAACATCTCCCCCCCACCGCTTCTCCCCCCCAACAGTACGGCGAGCGTTACGGGACAAAATTTCTTCCACGACGTCCGCATCACCTACCCTCTCAAGTGATGAGGTTTGTTTACATAGATAATTTTACAGATAGTATTTCATTAGTCTGAGTAGGGTATAGATTTCATGTAGACTTAAGATAATAAATATACCCGTTATTTTTTCTACATCGTTGTGACGTTTTGGTGAGCTGCTTTGCATGGTGATATAAACAGACTACTAATTGTAGTCATTAGTTTAACAGCGAGATTGTGTTCGCTGGAAGAATATATATTCCCCGTTTACAGAGTCCAAGTCATTTTGGTGGCACGGGGGTTACAACGCGAGGAAGAGGGAGAGGACGAGGGCGAAGGCAGGGAGGCCGTGCAGCTAGGGCCAGGCGAGAGAGGGGTGCCAGCGGGGTGAGAGCAGAGGAGGAAAGGCTTGAAGATCTCCAAAGGAGCCGGAGAGAAGTAACCGAGGTATATATCCAGAAAATTATTTTACAGAAAATTACTGAATCATTACCTATGAAACGTCAGGGACGTTGCTGAATAAGTATACTGGAGAGGAACAGCATCATCACGCCGCAGCATGTTATTGTTTTAGACAGGTCTGAGCATCCTGTACTCCAAAAACTGCAGTGATATTAGACAATTGTGTGTGTAGGATTAATTACCTGTCCAAGAGAAAACTGGCAACTTGAGCGTCACTTTGAAAACCTTTTTCCTCCATCAGTGACTTCCATCGTGTAAATGCCGTGCCAATGTTGATCCGTGTTTTTTGCCGTTTCTTGTCACGCTTGCGTTTATTCTCGTCGTGTTTCCGCTTCTTAGATGACGGGGGTTCGGTGTCCGCCGCTTTTCGTTGTGATACAGAGTAGGCATGATCCTCCATTCGTCTGATGTTTGGCCACACAGTGCCAAACAGTTTGCAAAGTCACTCACGCCTGCCGCCTTTGTTCACCTTTCTTGTTACTGATGCGCAGTATACCTGCTTCTTCTTCTTCTTTGGTTTCAGGCAGACTAAACGCTTCTCAGGCATAATACTGCCATCTACTGTTCAGTACCGTCTCAGTTCATCTCTCTCAACTTGCCGTAGTTATTTTCGAGCGTCATGGGAGATCTCGCAATCGCTAGTTTGTTGCCTCTGCGCTTGCCGTAGCGCAAAGATGTCAGCCTCCATGGCTGCGAGACCCGCTCCTATGTAATTATAAATAACGAATTCTAAGGCAGCGCAAATATTATGGTTAAAAGGCTGAGCTCATAGGTGATGATAAATAACATAGTTATGTATAATATATTAAATTTCTGACTTTATATGCCTGTAATTATTACACACTGTAGCTTTAAAGGTATACTATGCAACCGGCGTTGATTTTCCAGCGAGGCTCCCCCCAGAGGGCGAAAGTAAAAGTGCACTGTCGTAAATATGCTCAGCTGTTCTCCTGGTTTCTCCGTCAAGCCAGGCGCGGTTGTTTTGAGCTTAGCAGACAGTATGAACATGCACACAGAGAGAGAGAAACCATTCCAATGTTACTTACAATCGCATCAGCAGAAACGCGAGGTCCGCGTCAACCTTGCAGCCTTCTTTTTCTTTTAGCTCTCGCCATTCGGAAAAAGCTTGCCCGATGTTCACCCGTGTACGACCCCTCTCTCTGTCCAGAGCCCTTTTCCTCTTTCTTGCCTGATCCGACATGGCCTTTCGCTGTTTTCTCGCTGGTTCCGTCATGATAACTGCACAAATATCGCCACTGCGCTAGCAACGAGCACGCCTTTCACTAGGGGCGTGTAGCAGTTCTTGCCGTAAAGCAAGACCGACTCTCACATGCACTTCTGAGCATGTGGGTGCGGGCCGAGGACTTCTGCAATTGCCTACAGACCACCAGGGCGGCCGAGAAAACCTTTGTTCGACCTGAAATGACTCATTTAATCATCCAAAACGTTATGGAACACATTAATTAACTGAAAAATGTTGCATAGTATGCCTTTAATTGAGGATGTACATTTATTCCTCAATTTCCTAAAACAAAGCCAGCTCTCCTCAGTATTGTATTTTCTTGCTCTAGCCCAAGCTGTATCTCTTTGTTTAAGCAGAGCCCCAATAGCTGGGGGAAATCATGGATTATTTCTCCATTATCACATAGTTTTTAAGCTATCTGAAGATGCTGTCAACCAGTCTAAATTTAAATCTCCCAAAAAAACAAATTCATTGTTATTTAGGTCAGCTAGATATTTGTGAGTAGATTTGGAAGTGTGTCACAGACAGCAGAAGGTGGTCCATAACACCCTATAACTGTAATATTCTGAGTCTTTTAGTTAATTCAATTTTTAGGGCTAGAAACTCAAATTGTTTAGAAATAGATACAGAGGATAAAAGTGTGACATTAAAAATGCTCTTTACATAGATGGCAACACCGCCACCTTTCTTAAGGCGATCACAGTGAAAAACATTGTAACCTTCTAAGGAAATATTTTTATTTGTAATAGATTTGTTTAATCATGATGTCACTTCCGTTGTAACCCCAGGATACATGTACGCATCCAGTGCATTACTAGGCATTTCCAGGCATAAATGACCAGCTCGTTTAGATTGTTTATTAAACTAATATCTTTGCTCACTTAATTTTATATGCGTGTTTTCTGGTTTTTATTTCCTTCTATTTTTAGTGTGTTGTTCATGACAAGAGGCAGGGAAAGCAGAATAAAGTGTTAGCCTTACATATTAAATATTTATCTTGCACATCTAAATATGTATATATCAATATATTTCAAAAATATTTCAATTTTAATTTTTTTTTTAATGTCTTATCCAAAGTCATTGGGTGGGTGGGGCGGGCGGGCCCTAGCACCCTCTATTTGCTGATAGATATAGACACATCTATAATCTTCACATATAGTTATAATCACACACCTATTTATTTATAATACTTCAAAATCTATATATTCGCATCTATATCTAAAACCAACTGTCTTTACAGTATGCAAGCTAAAAACCTTGTAAGAGAATTGCCTAAAACAGACGCTGCCTGCTCTCTGCCAAATACAATATGGCGGTGACGTCGACATGTGAACCTGCGTCCAATGACGCATAGATATGTCTCTGGTTCCAACCATGTTACTGAAGGAAGTATTCCCTCTGATTTCCTCCTTCATTTTAGATGTGATTACTCTGCCTTTTACAGGGATCTGTACCTCAGGCTTTTAAGATAGTTGTAGTGAAACCTTTACTTAACAAATTGTCTCTGGACCAAGATGACTTGGTCAATTACAGACCTATAACATATTATAGGCCTATATATTATAGAGTGTGTGACCACTTACAACATGATGAGCTTTTTAAAGAGTTTCAATCTGGTTTTAGAGCTGATCATATCACTGAAACAGCTCTGGTGAAAGATACTGATATTCTTATGGCTTTAAATAATGGACTTGTATCTGCACTTGTCCTGTTAGATCTAAGTGTTGCATTTGACACAGTTGATCACAATATTATTTTACAAATACTTGAATATTTTGTTGGAATTAATAGATTTTACTAACAAAATCTCACAAGAATTTGCAAAATATCACGAGAGTTTGTAACAGAACAATGAAATTTAACGAGATTTTGAAAGTAAAATAGTTCGATACTGCGTTTTTAAAAATCTATTTCATATCAGCATATGAAAATATATTTGAGTATATTATTTTTCAAAGTGTCAGAAATGGATAACAAAACTGCTATTTTCAATGACTACTTATTTTTGTCCAGCTTTAACATCAGTATCGATATCGGTTATGGGCTACATGCGTTTTAAAATATCGGCATATCGGCCAAAATCCCAATATCGTGCATCCCTAATTATATAGAATATAGGCATGTCTTGGAGACATAAAAACCTGGATGACTCTGCTCTTGAATGCAGACAAAACAGAAATTATCTTTGGACCAGACTCATTGAAAAAGAAGTTGATTAGTCAGTCACTTCATTTGGATGGGATTAATCTCAGAAAATAAAGTAAAAAATCTTGGTGTTACTTTTAATCAGGATCTGCCATTTAAATCCCATATCAAAGAGGTTTCCAGAATTTCCTTCTTTCATCTGTGCAATATTGCAGAAATTACAGATATCTCATCAAGGGGTGGTGCTGAGAAACTAGTCCATGCATTTGTTACTTAAAGACTGGACTATTGTAATTCTTTACTATCAGGAAGTCCACAAACTGTAGTTAAAAGCCTTAAGCTGCTCCAAAATGCTGGAGCCAGAGTTCTGATGAAAATTTAAAAGAGAGATCATATCTCTCCCATCTTAGCTTCTCTTCATTGGCTTCTGGATAAATCCAGATTAGAATTTAAAGTCAAGTCTGATGAAACACTCAACACAGGTATTTTAAATGACCAGCAGGTGTTACCATGCGTTAAGGGGACCATTAATCAGCCTATCTAACAAATAGACAGTTATGAATCGGATGGTTGTATATAGAACTTTATTTTTCTAGAGAGGTAAAAATTTCTGACAATTATTAAACCATATACCTTGAAGAAGCAACAAAGATAAGCCTAAGCAGTTAGAAGTAAGATGACAAAAAAAATGTAATGCATTTTTGTCCACCGGCCTAAAAAGGTTTGAAGCTGTCTGAACCTGTATACGTCTAATAGTTTTGGTTCTACGCTGGATGGAGGTCAGCTTTTTTTTTTTTTTAATAAATGTTTGGCAGGAGAACCGGGATCAAGCAGGTGCGATTGCTTGGTGTGCTGTTGTATTTTTTTTTTTTTTAAACAGTTTTTATTTGTTCTTTTCCTCTGTACAACTAATCCCGTTGAACATGTGGCTTATAGCTTCCACCAAGCAGTGGTAAATTTAAGAAACAGTTCAATTTTGGTGTTTGGCCAGATTGCTGTTTGTATCCAGAAAATATTTTAAGGATTTAGTGCCAGCGGATCAATTAAAACGGATCATTCATGTGTGCCCGTCTCTCCAGTTTGTGTTTGTTACATAAACACTTGTACAGACAAATTAGTAGGATATCTAATTCAGATATTCATCAAGCCTAAACCTAATAAAATATATAAAGAAATTCACAGTAATGTTTTGGGGTCTTACAGACTTTGTTTTTTTCCCCTGTTCTTAATTTCAGTGGGGTCAAAGTCTAAGTCCTCATTTTGTTTCTGCCTTGATGTCACTTTTTCATTGTTCTTCTCCTCGTCCTCTGTTAGGTCCAAGGATTACTCAATTTCACACAGCTCCTCTTCATCATCTTCACTACTGTACTGTCTCTTTCTTGGCTTCCGGTTTCTTCTTTTGGCGGTATCAGTGTTTTTATCTTGTCTTTGCTGTTTTTCCTCTTCAACTGTTGTGTCTTTGATCTTCTTCTTTGGTCTCCCGATGGGTCTGCCTGTGGTTCTCTTTCTAAACCCTCCTCCACCAGTCCACACCTCCTCTTCTGCAGTGTGATCATCCTGTACAATGTCATTCAATGAGTCTGTGCCTCTTTCACCCTCAGGGTCACCTCCAACGGATCCCCCCAGGTTTGCAGTCTTCTTCTGATTCTCAGACTCTGTGTGGAAACGCTTGAGGTGACTCTTCAAGCTCACGTTGTGATTGAAGCCTCTGTTGCAGTGCTGACACTTGTAAGGCCTCTCCCCTGTGTGCATACGCATGTGGGACTTCAGATGGCCAGACTGGTTAAAGCCTCGGTCACACACTGAACACTTGAATGGTTTTTCTCTCGTATGCACCAGCAGGTGTCTCTGGAAAACATTAAAATACGAAAATTCCATCCCACAAATGTGACATTTTAGCAGACCTCGTTCTGGGTGATCTTTCATATGGACTTGGCGGTTCTTGAACGTGTCGAACATCTCAGAACAGTGGGGACATTTATAAGGTCTTTCTTCACCAGAGTGGATCTGTTCATGGTTATTCTTGTTAGTTTTAGTCTTGAACCCAGCAAGGCAGAATTTGCATAGGAACTGATGGTTTGGATTGTGTATGTTGCTGTGGATTGCTAAAGCCTGCTCACTGACACACCTCTTCCCACAGATGTTACAAGGGAAGGGCTTAATTTTATAGTCGCAAATGTGAGGCCTCCTTGTTTTAAATAACTTTCCACATTCTGTGCAGAGCTCCTTGTGTTTGGGAGCAGAATCATCTGTGTCTTCGTCAGAAGAAATATAATCCTCATCAGAATCCAATATCAAAGACTCGTCCTCTGGCTCCCAGCTGTCATCAGAATCCAAAATCAAAGACTCGTCCTCTGGCTCCCAGTTGTCATCTGAATCCCTGTGCTGATCTGGCTCACTAGATTCATCCATCATTTGGACTTTCTTTAAGACCGGGTCTATCTCATCTGCAGACGTCATCTGTAAAGCACCAAACAGCACAAATTATACATTTGCATAAACCAGTGAACAAAAGTCTTCCTTCTGGTATTCAGAAATTATTTAAGTTAAGAAAGAAAAAATATAATTTGCGAGGTTTGTTTATATTTGAATGTGCAAAAGAGAACAGCCAGATAAAGTCTAGATGTGTTCAGTTATTGGTGTGAAAATGTGGAATGAATTGAATGATGATTTAAAGTTATGTCCTTTCTTGGTGAATTTTAACAGGGCTTTAAAATGTAAAATGATAAAATCCTATGTTATGTAGATTTGAATATTTATATATGCAGTAAAGAACCTGGTAGGTTGTAAAGGTTGTAAGTATAAAACAGGATAGGCAATAATAAGCTTGGCTTCAGCCTATTCCTTTTTTTTTGGTAAATTGTTTGTTTTGTTTTGATATTGTTGTTTTGTTGTTTAATGTTGGATTATTTGCTAAAATATAAAGTGAAAGTGAAGTGATGTGATTTACACCCATTAGCCTTGATGAATGACTGAGACAAAGAACCCCTGCTGTGCCCTGACTGCAGAGCTGCAAATGGATGAAACTCAAGCTTTCCAAATGGACATGGAAAAAGGTTTGCAGGTCTGGCATGATTAGGGACAGAACAAACAATATGTCTTTTGATGATGCTAATCATATCACGTGTTTACTGCTGAGTAAAGACGACGCTTATTGATGCTAAAGAATGGACTGCATGCTACGCTATGCTACAGGAATATGTGTTGAGCTGTTGCTGAAGCTTGGACAATCTTTATTCACTAAGGGTCTAAACACTGATCTAACATCAGTGTTCATATGTTCCTCAGATGCTCATTACATTCCCGTTACCAAGTATGACCAAGAGTCATTTAGTGGAATCCTGATGTCTATTCACTGCTAGCTATTTCAAAGAGGGTAAAGAATCATTTAACTAAAGGTTTTTGGTTCTTGATTAAGCAAATCATTAAATAAAACATTACTTGGCCAAATAATGTTTTATTCACCTCATGGATTTGCATTGTGAATTGGTCTGAAAATTCAATTTTTTTTTTAATTAGTGAAAAGCTAATTTGATATATATCCCAAATTCTTCCTAATGGTAAATCCCCCCGTGTGATGCTCATGGCCGACGACAGCAGAATACCGTCACACTGGGCTGCCTCTCATCAACTAAACCAGGGTAGACCAGCGTACTAGGCAAATTTTTTTGAAGTTTTTTCTTCAAGGAAGACGCAGATGAGTCAAAATGGAAGTCCCTTTGCGCACCGAAATAATATTAAAATACAAAGCTCCGGACGTCCCTGGTCTGCTACTTCGAGAGTTATTAGCTGAGACCGACAGCCCAGTTTGTCACAGCCTAGAGCCCTCTAGCAGATTGTACACTGACAGAAACCATGGAGTAGGTAGCCTACTCGTACGTCAGCGTAATCAGGGGGGATTTACCATTAGACAATACTAGGCAGTTGCCTAGGGCCCCAAGTTCCTGGGGGCCCCATAAAACTCTGTTTCCATGTATGGTTAATAAAACTAATCCTTATTTGTGCACATTAATTATGTTTTTGATAAAAATCCTTTGGCCAAAATGCCATCAGAACGCTGAAAAATAGAGAGGAAAAGGGGACAAGAAGAGAGGGACAAAACCTAGAACATATAATGGATGTCTACAGTGTTGTGCCTGAACGCGTTCATTGAACGAAAGTTCATGAACTCGTTCATATTTTGGGCGAACGTGAACTGAACGTACTGCATTATTGCCTGGTGAACGTTATTGTGAACTCGTTCATTCTGGTGTCTGAACGGCACGCTCTCTCAGTTCAACTCGGTTGCCAGATTTCTATAAAGCCCTCCAGGCGAAACCCCGGCTAAATCACACCGTAAACAGGCCTAAATATGTACCGGGAAAAACACCCAATCTGGCAACACCAGCTACCAGCGTCGTAGCCTACAGCCGCGTGCGTCATCAAAACAAAATGCAGCGTGGAAGCAACAGCAGCATGGAGGCGACTTAAAACAGCTTTATGACCAGGTGGTCGGTGAGGATGATGGCAACAAGTTTGCCCGCCGGCTTTCAGTAAAAAAATCCGCACTTCAGTAACCTTAATTTCCTACCTCAGCCTGGCCCCTCAGTTTGTGTTAGTAAAATCTTCTTGAGCGGAGGTCTTCAACAGGGGATCCGCGACCCCTAGGGGGTCTACGGAGGTACTGCATGAGGGTCTGCATGGTTAGTTGATATTTTTATATTCCCCCCCTGCATTTCTTTCCCCCACTAATTGAAATGTCTTTAAATACTCATTAACATGAAATCAACGCACTGTAGTAAACAGATAAATGGAGGCAGAAGATGTCTTTCAGTCATCAATGCACACATTCAGCGACACACAGGAGCTCTTTCAAGCTGGGCACCGTTTCCTTCACAACACCTGTCCCATCAACCAGGAATCAGAATCAGAAAAACTTTAATAATCCCAGGGAGAAATTAATTTCTTTACATTACTCCATCTGTAATAGAGTGACTATAGGACACTATTTCATACAATATATATAAATAGGGGGTCCCCGCTCCATCTCGCCATCAGTTTGGGGGTCCTTGGTCTGGAAAAGAAGACCCCTGTTCTTGAGGGTTTTACTATCCATGTAACTTGTTTGTTAAACCTGCCTGGTATAATTTTCCAGGATTCCTTTTTAGTATGTATTGAAATGGAATTTCAAATGGAAAAAATTATAAAAAAAAAAAAAAAAAAACATTTGCACCTTAAAGACTACTTTCCTATTTTTCTTTTAATAATTACTCATAAAAAAGACCATTCAAGCAGCACATTTTTCCTGATGTTTTTGAGAATATACTGTAGGGGTGAAAGCTGCAGCTGCTACTAGTGTGAAGTGAATGGACAGCAACAAAGCATTAAAGCAACAATGGGGAAATGCTGTCCCCTCAATGCTAATGTAAACCCTGGTTGGATAAGGATTCAAAACTGGATATGAAGATGAAATCTGACGCACAGTTTCAGAGTTACAACTGATAAAATAATTGCTGTCTGTGGTTCTACAGTAGGCTATGGTGTAATTGAGCAATATATGAAAAAAAAAGAGAAAAAAAAGAACTATGAACTAGTTCGTTTTTAGGAATTGTGAACTATGAACTGAACTAGTTCATTTTAAAATGTGTGAACTGAACTTTGAACTAGTTCACGTAGAAAGAGAACTTTCCCAACACTGGAGGTCTATTCTATTAACATTTCTCTATCTGTAGAATGGGTCTGTTTTATGGGTTTACTTCTCAGGGGGCCCCCTGCCTGTCTTTGCCTAGGGCCCCAAATTTCCTAGATCCGCCCCTGAGTATAATCATAGTTGCAGATGATTGAAACAGCCCTGTTTAGTAAGCATCACTAATACTATGACACCGAGTGATTGATTATGTGTTATGATTAATATTCTCAACATTGCTTTTGCATAACCCTGCCGCATCAACGTTAGGCTACGCACGGCTGCTACATAAAATCATTTGTAGTTTTGTTTACCAGTGTTGCAGGAACAGCAGAGCTCTTCAAAATCCTTTTCTTCGTATCTCTTGGGCACGAAGACGCAAAGTCGTCCTCGCTGAAGTGAGCACTGCAAACTCGGAGCTTTTTAATTTTTGCCAGTCTGGTGTCAACATGGAATCCCAAAGCGAGTAGCCAAAGCTTCCTGACCGCAACGTCCGTCAGAGGAATACGATGAAAACTGAGAGATTTACCATCAATTTTGTTGGCACAACCAGGATAATCGCAAGCCTTCACCATTTTTAAACACCCGGAGTTATATAAATATAATCAAATACTATCTTGTAAAAGTGTTATTAACTTGGTTAGCTCAAAAGCTAGCTCGGTGGCGTTGCTAGTAAACAAAGGCTGCTAAGTTAGCACTGAAATGAGCTGGAAAAGTTGAGCTCGCTGTCTGAATGACGGCGCGCAGTGATACGAACAGAGAGAAAATAGGACCAATTGATAACGACGTGTGACTTTTTCCACTACAATGTTTTTGGGATGCAAAAATATCACTCTTTTGAACACATAATGTTTTGGGAAGAGAAAAGTTTTATTTCGCTGGTCGTAAAAACCTGCCGGACTACTTTCGGCTTGACCAAAACTGGACGATAACTCTGCTCACAGGACGCTGCCAGGGGTAAGTCAGTGTGATTGCATGCCACTGGTGATGGGGATGCCATACAGATTCATGTCAAAAAATACCGAACTATCCCTTTAAACTGTAATTTGGTTTTCAACCGTGTTCCCCTTCCTCTTTGTACATAGTAGTTAGTTTAGTTTAGTTGAGTTTTACTAGTCTTAGTTGAGAGTTTTAAACTTAAATATGTTCGACTTGGAGCTGAATGATTTTCGTTAATAAACTCATATTTTGAACAGAAGTTGTGGTAAATTTATTCTATGCATGTGCAGAAATAACTGTTTGACCACGATTAGTGCTCGAATCACTCTTTCATCTATTGTTCTAACACACAGTTAGTGGGACTGTGTGTCATAAACAATCTATAACAGCTCAAATATTATCTGATTAAATAAGATATTTTACCCCACCTACAGGGGAGGGCAGTAAACATCTTTAAGTATGAGAAACATAAATTCCCAGCTGGCTGGGAATAGAGAAGAACATAAAATCACAACACTGGCTATGAAATCTCTGACCCTCTTTCATTTCCTTTAGGGATATCACCCCTCCTTCTGCAAACCTGCTGCGTGCACTTAGCTTGCGTAGCCGCCTGTGGCCCGGGCTGCCTATCACAACTCTAGTCCGGCGCGCGCTGATGACGTCATACACACCCTGCTTTGTTTTTTAAAAATACAAAAATAAAAAATATAACCGCGGATGTTTAGGGGACAGTGATTTGCATACATGTTATGAATGTTGGCGTACTATAAATAATAAATTATGAACAGGTTAGTTTGTGCATTCAACTTGTTGCCCATAGGAAGACGTTACTTGGATATAACAAAACCAAGGCCGTTTCTCAATTCACGAGTATGGCAAGCCAAGAATGCCACTATTCACTTCTAATTATCACGTTAAGATTGAAATTCACCCACTAAAAGCGCCCGTTTTTCCAAAATTCCGCCGCTTTTACCAACAAGCGCCGCTTTTTACGTCTTAACACGTTCTGCACAGAGCTCTGTGTGGGGTCTCCGGGAGTGTGGCATCGGTCGGTGGAGTAAGCTTCCATCGGTGCATGGAGAGGTTTTGAAGTCGCTTGTGGAGAAATGTCCTGGGCCGTGAGTAGCGAGGAAACAGGAAGTGATTCTTGTGGGATGGAAGAGGGAAATAGTGAAAACGAAGAAGATTGGAAGAGAGTAGCAACAAAAAAATTAGAAAAAGCGGAAAAAGCAGAGATTGATTGAATGGGACTCAAGTTCAGAACAGTCAAGTGATGATCAATCTAGAAATTCTACAGGAAACAAACAAAATGAGTACAAAGTCATATTCAAGCTAGTTAATTAGAAAGACTCTTTTGCAGGTTGGAATGCGGTTCAGTTAACAAAATCCATAATTAAACTTTTAGGAGAAGTCCAAAGTGCCAGAATACTTTATAGTGGAGACCTGTTAATAAACTGCAGAGACAGCGCTCAACAAGGCAAAGCTATTCGGATTAACAAAATTGAGGGGATAAGAGGTCAGTGCAGCTTGCTGGAGAAAAAAATGATTAGCAGGGGAGTCATTGGAGGAGTCCCTCTTAAAGTATCTGAAAAAGAGATTCTAGAAAACATAAGTGGTGCAAAAGTAAAAGATGCTAAAAGGTTAAAAACAACAAGAAATGGAGAAAGCTGTGACAGCTTATCTGTGTTAATTAAATTTGAAGAAGAGCAGTTGCCCAGCAAAGTTTTCATTGGCTACATGAGCTACAATGTGGAAAGAAAAATGAAGAAAGAAGCTAAGCTCAAATGCTGTAACTGTGATGGAGAACATACTGCTGCATATCGCAGGTGTGAAGTGAGTAAAAGGTCTAAGGAAATTTAAAAAATTGAAATTTGAGCTCAGACTAACATATGCTGAAGCTGCAAAAATGACCATATCCCAGTCAGAAAAACCCAAACCTACAGTTCAGCACATGGCAAATTCAAAACCTCTGGAGCAGCATCCCAAAATGACAGAAGATTCATTGATTGTAAAGAAGAAAGATTTTGTTCTTTTCATGATTGAAGTGATCAATTGTAGTGCTCAAATGACAAGAAAAAATGAAAAAAATCAAAATAATAGTGAAAGCTGCAGAAAAGTATCATGAAGTTTAAGATTTAAACTGGGAAATGGTGGAAAGATGATGGGAAAACCAGTTGGACAGATCAGAAACTGGCAGAGTTTAACCTAAAGATAAATTAGAATTATAAGGGCAAATTTGATTAATTATTTATTATGTTGGGTTCAGTTAAACTGTTTTTTTGTTTTTTTTTTCTGGGGGTGAGTCGTTTCCTGTTTCCTTGCTTAACTCCTTATCATTTGGTGTTGGTAATAGACTTTTAACTAGTTTGCCAACTGCCATAAAACCACACAAGAAGAAGAGGAAGAGCTCTGTGTGGCAGCGTTACCAAAGTTCACTGCATTGTCGTTTCACAAAGCCTTAATTTTAGGAATATAACCACTACATGCACTTTGCAATTATCTTTAATCCATTTCAATGCCTATTTTCATGTAAAAACGTTTTTCATAGACATACATCGCTTACTAATGTCTTGTGCTGTACAGGTATTAGTCGGTTAAAGTGGCCGCATATAATGCATATTTTTTGCTTCAATACAGCTTTGAATCCGGCTGAGACAGTTCAACTTTTCCCTTTATATGCTCTCGTCTCCAACCAAGCCCGTTTCGTAGTTTTTTGGTTTTTTTTTGGAGAATATAACCCATAAATTAGGCTACCTCACTGTTGTTTTTGACCCATCGCAATGCATTCTTTCATGTTAAAACTTTTTACATTGTGCTAATAGAATGACAATAAAGGGGCCACTTGTGTTCCAGAAAATGTTACTGTTTGATACGTTTTCTGTGTGTTTCCTGCATATGACTAACCTTAACCCAAGCTCATAATGCTTTCTAAAACCATGGAGCAACCGCTGTTGCATTCTTGGCGAGAACGTGAGTACGGACTTGCGTTCGCGTCAAGTCTGGTGTTGGCAAGAACACAAAAAAGTCTGGACTTGGTGCACGCCAGCTACCATTCATTCATCCTGTCCGCTGAACTGCTGCTAGTTTTACTCACATGCCTGGAAGATGTCTAGTGCTACTACCACAGATGATCGCGCTCTCGAAAGGGAATTGAACGATTCAGATTAGCTAGCCGAATTAATATAAGGGGTAGAGCATAGCCGCCTGTGGCCCGGGCTGCCTGTCACAACTCCACTCCGGGGCACGGATGAGGTCATACACGCTCCGCTTTGTTTTAAAAAAATATATAAATATAAAAAATATAACCGCGGATGTCTGGGGGACAGTGATTCACCTACATGTTATGAATTCTGGCGTACCATAAACAATAAATTACGAACAGTTTAGTTTGTGCCTTCAACTCATTGCCCATAGGAAGACTAGGAAGATGTTACTTGGATATTACAAAACCGAATATCTTCGGAACAGCTCCAAATGACACAAAACTGATATGGGTGAGTAGACCGTGGTGTAATAACGTAAAATCAAGGGGCCAATGTAAAAAAAAAAAAAAAACGTGTTCCCTTTTAAAGATGCTTTTCTTGTCAGTCATGACGAACATGAGAATTCAAGTAAATGTCGGCAGTTTTTGGTTGGTTTCAACTGTTGTTTCATTTTGGTGTAAGAACATCAAGAAAAGGGGATAGATATGCAGATCAAACTTTTCTAGATTACCAAATGAAATCTCACCTCTTTCACCTCTGGATCAGCAGGCCTATACACTGATGGGATAGCATCTGTTTTCAGCAGGGCGATGCTAGTAGCTGGATTCACTTGGACAAAACAGCTAGGTGTGAAGTGTTCAGCACAAACTCTGATGTCAACCCATGAGGATTCTTGAATTCTCTGACCATTGACCACAAAAAGAAACTGGACCCACTCCAGTCTCTTATCTGGATCTGCTGCTAGACTGAAGCACTGCGCTCCACGATGCCATGAATCACATCCGACGACAGAGCACCTCCTGGATTTAAAGGCGTCATCTGTGTTTTCTCTAAAAGAGGGAGAGAGAGAGATAGAAATACATACAATTTAAAGAGGGGGATAAGGTGGAGACCAAGCACTTGATACACTGCCTGCCTGCAGGTCTTTCCATAAAGCATGCCCAAGACTTAAATGTTTCTCATGCAAATGCGTGGTAATCTAATAGTCTTCTTTCTTTTGACCATATATATATATATATATATATATATATATATATATATATATATATATACACATACACACACACACATATACATACATACTACCGTTTTAACAGTTTGGGGTCACATTAAAATGTCCTTATTTTTTAAGGAAAAGCACTGTACTTTTCAATGAAGATAACTTTGAACAAGTCTAACCCCAGGCTCACACCGACTCCGGTCTTACCGTTGCGGTGCGGTGGGTGCGGCGCCGCAGTGATTCCAAGTCATTAAAAAGACGTAAACCTCTCTCACCGGCTGCTGAGCTGTCCGGCTGCGGTTACCGAGACACTCCGGCGCTGCAGAAAATTCCGCAAGAAAGCTATCCTTGCGGCGTGCCGGAGCCCTCCGCAACAAGCTCTCGCAAAAATCCTTTATTTGGGCCGTGTTATCGCGTGAAGTTACGGGAACTCAAGTGAACTTCTGTTAAATCTCCGGACCTGTTGCCGGAGCCGCACCGTAGTCAAAAGGGCGGTGTGAGAGGGGGTGTGCGGGAGTTGCGGTCTCCGTCGGCTCGGTAACCGCACCGGAGCCAGTGTGAGCAAGGGGTTAACTTTAAAGAAATACACTCTATACATTGCTAATGTGGTAAATGACTATTCTAGCTGCAAATGTCTGGTTTTTGGTGCAATATCTACATAGGTGTATAGAGGCCCATTTACAGCAACTATCACTCCAGTGTTCTAATGGTACAATGTGTTTGCTCATTGGCTCAGAAGGCTAATTGATGATTAGAAAACCCTTGTGCAATCATGTTCACACATCTGAAAACAGTTTAGCTCGTTACAGAAGCTACAAAACTGACCTTCCTTTGAGCAGATTAAGTTTCTGGAGCATCACATTTGTGGGGTCAATTAAACGCTAAAATGGCCAGAAAAAGAGGACTTTCATCTGAAACTCGACAGTCTATTCTTGTTCTTAGAAATGAATGCTATTCCATACTAGAAATTACTACTCCCTTCAGAGGACAGCACAAACAGGCTACTGCAGGTACAATTTAATGAAGATGCCAGTTGGGGACCTGTGAGGCGTCTGTTTCTCAAACTAGAGACTCTAATGTACTTATCTTCTTGCTCAGTTGTGCAACGTTGCCTCCCACTTCTTTTTCGACTCTGGTTAGAGCCCGTTTGTTTTTTTAGGGCTGAGTATTTTCGCCAAAATCTTGAATCGATTCGATTTTGATTAATACAGTTCTAAATACTCATGTATTTTAATTTTTCCTGTCACATTAAACACAAAGTGCAAACTTGTAAATCTAAACTTGAGATGTGAACAAACTGTCTCATAAGTAGGGTTGTCAAAAGTATCGATACTCAAAAAAGTATCGATACTGAAACGTTGTATCCGGATACAATACTCATTTTCAAAAGTATCGAAACAGCCATCTAAAGTGGAGAATAGTGGAAAATGCACTTTCTGAACACTGTGTGATTGAATAATTCTGTGAATTTTTCACTTTCAGACTTTTTTTGTTATGTCTGCAAAACATAGCCAAGGAAGGAACACTTAATTTTAATTTTGTAAGTTTTTTATCAAGCTTGCTTAATTGTGCACATTATACAACCTCAAAATAGTATTTATAGTTTTCTTTATTTATTTATTGTATTTTTTTAGTAATGAAAATATATCTGTTGAATTTTAGAGTCTTTGGTTTTATTCTTGTGGTATCGAAAAGGGTATCGAGTATCGAATATTTTACTTGGTATCGGTATCGAGTTGAAAAGTTTAGTATCGTGACAACCCTACTCATAAGTGCAAACTTGTTTGTGAAAAGTGAAAAAGTGAAGGCTCACTCGAGCAAGCAGACGTAACACATTATATTTGCAGTGTTGTCTGTAACAGCCACCGGGTGTTTGCTGGTCAGCCCCCATGTCTTCAGTCAACCTATTGGGTATATTTGCTGCTGTCTAGCTTGAAGTAATCTTGAGTGCATCTTTCCTGTTCATTTGAACGTCACGCACATCACTATAAAACTAATTGATCTCATTCTCTAGGCATCGATTCAAAAATCGATTAAATCTATTTTTTTACCCAGTCCTAGTAGATATTGCACCAAAAAATAGACATTTGCAGCTAGAGTAGTCATTTACCACATTAGCAATGTATAGAGTATATTTCAATGTGACTATATATATATATATATATATATATATATATATATATATATATAGACACGCTTATACATGTCTAAATCCATACACATGCGCACACACACACAATACCGTCCGTTGTTGGATTCTGTGCTCAACTCCTCCAACTGTACTCTTTTTCTTTTACTTCTGATTGGTCTTGATGTAAGCCCCAGCTCAGTGAACTCGGCCATTGAGCAGCCCACAGCCACTGAGTGGCTAGCTGGACGACATGAGAGTAATAGAACAACACGGTTATAATATGCACATTTAGGATAGAACAAAATATTGTATAATACACATTCGTGTAATTATACCTTTACTATGGGTACTGCCTTTTGTTGGAATGGAGCTCTTTGAGGTCTGAATGAAAACGTCCCTTTGAGTCGGGCTGTACTGGCAGGCGACATCTCTCGTCTAAAGATGACAATGGAGAGAAATTGGAAATAAATAAATCACATTGTTTACAAGAAGCATAAAACGATATGATGTGACGTTACTGAGCTGATGTACAACATAAATCATAATGCATAATTATCAACAAGTGGTCACTGAGATGTGAATGTAGAGGTGGATAACCCTGCTGGTAGCCCAGTTGAAAATTTTAAAGGATCTGTGACTGTTTTGTGCTGGGCTCTATCAGGGGGCGGCCCCGTAACAAGCATTGAGAACACCGAGGTCATGTCCTCTGTATTTTCCCCTTTTTTTTTTTTCAATTCAATTCAGTTTATTTATATAGCGCCAATCAGAGAAATGTCAAACTATATGATAATAATAATAATAATAATACATTTTATTTGAAAGCGCCTTATCACAACACCCAAGGACACTGTACAGGCAGATAAAAACATTAAAACAGGAAGCTAAAAAGTACAAGCATAAAGATGCCACAGAAAACAGAACAGCAGGAAGTAAAATAAAACCAATGGAAGAAAAGGAAGAGAACAATATTGGAGTGATGCGTAAGAACTAGATAGGATAAGACTGTCTGAACAGGAAAGTTTTGAGTCTGGATTTGAAAAGAGGGAAGGAGTCCAGAGTACGGAGATCCGGAGGGAGGGAGTTCCAGAGGTGGGGAGCAGAGCGACTAAAGGCCCGGTTCCCGATTGTGACCAGACGGGCCGAGGGAACGGAGAGCTGGAAGGTGTGGGAGGATCGTAGGGAGCGGATGGAGGTTTTAACTTGAAGGAGATCTGAGATGTAAGATGGAGCCAAGCTGTGGAGGGCCTTGAATGTAGTTAGGAGGAGTTTGAAGATGATTCTTTGTTTGATGGGGAGCCAGTGGAGTTGTTGCAGGATGGGACATGATATGATGATATGATGAGAAATGGGGGTCCGAGTGATCAGGCGCGCTGCAGAGTTTTGGAGATTAAAATTGTTCTGACTTTAAATGGTGTAAAGATCAGAATGCATTCTCATTCGTTAAAAAAAAAAAAAATAAAGTCCACATATATTATTGAAAGTCATTTGAATCACTTAGTGGGCCATGCATGGTGATGATGGTGACAATAATAATAGTATTAATAATAATTCAATATTAATATTGGTTATATCCAAGTAACGTATTCCTATGGGCAACAAGTTAAAGGGACAAACTTAACTGTTCATAATTTATTATTTATGGTACGCCAGAATTCATAATATATATCATCCTGTCCACTGAACTGCTGCTGGTTTTAGAGAGACAGCGAATTGAGCTCTGCCCTGCTGGACCTAAATGCAAGTGCTAGTCATAAAAATATGCATGTCTAGAAATTCAAACAGAACAAGCTACATCTTACCCCTGCTTTCTGTGTGTGCTCCTCGGCGGCCAGCGGCACAACATTCTTTCTGATGTGCTGGTGTTGAAATCTCTGACCCTCTTTCATTTCCCTTAGGGGGAAAAAGTCCTCTGGTGAGAAGTGGGCACTGCATACTCGATAATCCAGTCGCCGTAAGCGAGGAATAGTGATTTTGGGGTCCATTTTCAAGACAACGAGCCATAGTTTCAAAACATCCCGATTGCAGAGAGGAAGCCGGTGGAAACTGTATTTCGTCCAAGTTGACATTTTGTTGTCGCATCCTGGATATGCACACATTCGACCCATTGTTGCCTAATAGATAATTCACTAGTTTTATCACGTCTTCTGCAAACTCGCTGCGTGCACTTAAGTAGCGTAGCCGCCTGTGGCTCGGGCTGCCTATCACAACACTAGTCCGGCGCGGACTGATGGCGTCATACACACTCCGCTTTGTTTTAAAAAAAAATATAAATATAAAAAAATATAACCACGACTGTTTGGGGGACAATGATTTGCCTATATGTTATGAATGCTGGCGTACCATAAATAATAAATTGTGAACAGTTTAGTTTACGCCTTCTACTCGTTGCCCAAAGGAAGACGCTACCTGGATAAAACAAAAACGGATATCTTAGTAACAGCTCCAAATGACACAAAACTCATATGGGTGAGTAATAACGTAAAATCAAGGGCCCAATGTAAAAACACCGGTGTTCCCCTTTAACTCTTTATTCACGTTTCCAAAATATGTTTTAGTTTTTTTAGGATGTTTTTTTGTCAAGTAAGATTTATGAGCAATATTTGACCTCGGTATTTTCAAACATCCTGGTTAAGGTCTTGTCAGAGGGTACTTTGCCTTGAACATAACCTGATATTTAGTTGGAAGTCAGTAAGGGGACTTCTCTTGGCTAAAAACTAAGCATTACATGAGCATAGCAGTTCGCTTTGTGAACAAAAACATTAACCAAACGGTTTCAGGCTGAAGCACTGACCAGAAAAAAAAAAAGTAATTTCGTCAAAATCCAAGCAGTAACAACAAGTTATTAGCACTTTGTCCGACATGATCACATAGGAATAGAAACACGGTGATAGTAACTTCTGTCTAATTTATATCTGCTACACACTCACTGGTATTTTAGAAGATTGTGTCCCAACAGTGTACACCTTCGGCACTGCAGTGTCCTTGAGGATCAGGTCCTTCGCCAGTCCTGCAGAATACTGCCCATAGTTGGTGAAGCTGGATTCGGTGAAATGTCTAGCGCAAACCCGGTCTCTCTTCGTCAGCCCTCTCTCGTCAAAATGCAGGAACTCGAACCAGCAGGCACGAATGGCGGGAGTCGCCGGGATGTTAAACAACGTGGTTTGCTCGGGCGGACAGCCCAGCAAACACCGCCGAGGAACGCTCATGCTAAGGAACGTTATCTGTGCACTACATCAAACACTCTCACAAACGCGAGAAACACCCACACCCACAAACAACACAATCTCTCACCACTATATAAATCACAGGCCCCTTACAATTACCCGCTCTCTGTAACTGGGTCCTGCGCGTGCTAGTGACGTTACGTTACACGATTGGCTGAACGTTGCCACATGATATAAAACAGTGGTTGTCCAGACAACGATAATAACATCACGCAGCGTGAGTTAGCGTGTCTAATGACCGATGGAGTTTTACCTGATCGATAATAAAACTTGAAAAAAATATGTTTATGTTGAACAAATTAACTGAAAAATAACAGGTTAGCCTCTTTTAGCTCGGTCAGTTAGCCACATTAAGTTACACTACTTTTTAATTTGTATTAACGTTCGTTTCCTACAACGAGAATAACTGTTTTCTTTGTCTAAAACCTCTACAAAAGCCCCTATTTTAGGGTGTCACGCTTGTACTTCCCCGTCCTCAAATCATAATAAAATTAAAGTGAGACTTTTTGTCACCTTGTTAAATGGCAGAGCTCATTCTGTCAGGCAGTTCTTTCCTTAGAGACTGACAATGATTGTTTCAGCTACTTTAGAACGCCAATAACATGTAAAATAATAGCAAATATAGGTAATAATATGTTGAGACTCCAAAAGAGATTAGATCCTTAAGAAACAGGTGCAATGCAGTTTGAGTGGAGTTGCCATTAATTAATGCCATAAGAAGCAGATCTGGTACCTACACCCTCTAGACCCACAGCTAGTTCGTGACAGTCCCTCTTGCGTTGTGGCGTGGAATAATATAGCGCAGACCACGCTTCAATATTGGGCACAAATCAAAAATATCTGCGACAAGCTCACTGCGACACTCTGCTGCCGGGAGTATAAAACAAGCTGGTTAAACCCAGGCCTCCATTGGTTGAAAAATTTGATTTCCATCGATCATTTTTGTCTGATTGTTTTGTCAGAACATTCAACTTTGTACAGAATAAATTATTGAATAAGAATAATTAAGATCTTGGCTGTGTTATTAGTGTTACCTTTATTTTTGGACAATTTGCACAACAGCATGTGATACTCAATGTCAGTAAGTGATGCTTCCTAAGTGGACTGTTTGATTTCACAGAAGTTATATTGCTGTTGTATACATCTTTCCTTTATTTTTTTGAGCAGTGCATAGAAATAGAAACCCCAATAAATTTCCCAAAACCTGGCCACAGAAAATTGGAACAGAAAAGTTATCTCTGCAAGAGGTGATGACATAATTTTGCTTTTTAAGGTTGTTTAAACAGGTTCTGGCATATTTTTTTTCTTCTGCATAGTGTCTTGCAATTTTTATAAGCAAATACAGCAGCTGAAGGGTGGGAAGGACTTTTTAATTTATTGAAATTAGATGTGGACTTACAAAGTATGAGTGTTTGGTGAAAAAAAAAAAGGAAATACAACATTTAATATCCCTTTGGGATTAATGAAATATTGTTTAATTGGATTTACAGAACAATTCTTCATAACAAGGATAACAATATGGAAAACCCTAAACTTCCTCGATATCAGACTGTAGAACAACAAAGCATCTTAGGTTGGAGGCATCCAGGTGCATTACAGTAGATAATTCCAGCCTGTAGCCATTGACATATATGATATGGGGGGAAAAAACTCATAGGAGTAACATTTAATTTTCCTTTAAAAAGAAAATATTTCTTATTGAATATAATTTATTCTATGTGTTAAAGTAATCTAACCATAAGCTAATTTTGCCAAGCAGATACAAAGCAAAGTCATGGCAGGCATGGATTGAAAAGTTCTCTCCTCAAATCACCAAACCACAGGACACTTTATGGGATAAACATTTCCAGGGTTGGACTAAATTAAGTCATAGCTTCAGTTTCAACAAACAGCTTTCTTTCTTGGTCTTCCTCTGGGCCTTTTTGGGGTCTTACAGTCTTTATTTCTTTCTCTCTTCTTAATTTCAGTGGGGTCAAAGTCTAAGTCCTCATTTGCTTTCTGGCTTGATGTCACTCTTTCATTGGTCTCCTCGTCCTCTGTTAGGTCCAAGGATTCCTCACTCTCACACAGCTCCTCTTCATCATCTTCACTGCTCGACTGTCTGCTCTTTGGCTTCCGCTTTCTTCCTTTGGCAGTATCAGTGTTTTTATCTTGTTCCTCTTCAACTGTCGTGTCTTTGATGTTTTTCTTTGGTCTCCTGATGGGTCTGCCTCCTCCACCAGTCCACACCTCCTTTTCTGCAGTGTGATCCTCCTCTACATTTTCATACAATGAGTCTGTGCCTTCATCTCCCTCAGACTCACCTCCAACGGATCCCCCCAGGTTTGTAGTCTTCTCCTGATTCTCAGACTCTGTGTGGAAACGCTTGAGGTGGATCTCCAAGCTTACGTTGTAAATGAAGCCTTTGTTGCAGTGCTGACACTTGTAAGGTCTCTCCTCTGTGTTCATACGCACGTGTATGTTGCTGTGGACTGCTAAAGCCTGCTCGCTGACACACCTCTTCCCACAGATGTTACAAGAGAAGGGCTTAATTTTATACTCACAAATGTGAGGCCCTCTGGTTTCAAAAAACGTTCCACATTCTGTGCAGAGCTCCCTCTGTTTGGGAGCAGACTCCTCAGTGTGTGCGGCAGAAGAATTATAATCCTTATCAGAATCCAAAATCAAAGACTTGTCTTCTGGCTCCCAGTTATCGTCTGATTTCTCAACCTCATCCATCTTGCTGGATTCATCCATCTCCTCCTTGTGATCACTCTCTTCTTTGACAGTTTGGTCTTTCTCTGAGATTGTTGCCGTCTCATCTAAAGATGTTGTCTGTCAAGCACAAAACAGGACAAAAGATGGTCTTAATTCCCAGTTCGAAATTCAATAGAAGCTATACAAAATTTTATATTAACTTTTTTACGCCTCAAATCCTGACAGACCAAGACAGACAAAAAAAAGCATCACTGAGGTTATATTGAAAGTTTGAATAAGCAACCACTGTAGGAGCTAGACTATGTTAATAGTGACTGTGGGAGAGAGCTTCTTTGCTAACTTGTAATTGCTCCATCCTCTAACGCATGCCCAAATGTCCCTGAAATTTAACTTGCCCATAATCTCCAAATAAGGGTATTTGTGAACTGATTGATATGGCTTTTAGTATTAAAAAGCCTCCAGCTTTCTGCCTTTTATGGTGTTCGACTTTATTAAGTTAGTTCTAGATCCAGGTCAGTTCAAACTTGTTAATCATTCCAATGGCTCCATAATCAAGGATCAAGAAAGGATGTCCATACAACAAACGCACAGATATATTTGCCAGTTGCTCTCTCAGATAAAATCTGGTTCCCATGTATTGAAGACATGGACTAAGCCTACTACACCATCACCACCACAGACGAACTTTAGTAAACCTAAATTGACTGTCCAGGTATTTCAAAGAACAGTATTTAGTTATCATTAGTGAGGATGTGCATTGGCTAAAAAAGGTATTGGAATATAAGCTTTTTCAAAGCAGTCTAACCTTATTTAAATGAAACCTTTAACCTGTAAAAGTAACTTGGTTCCACAATGAACTTTGCTTAGATTGGACTTGAAGTTAGAAGCCTATGCCTTCCTCGCCTAAATTCCCCTGAAATCTACATGGTTGTATGCCCCATTTTAACTCAACAGTAACGCATAAGAGGGGCGTTCAATAAGTAATGCCCCTGACCCACTTCCAGATGTTTTATCGAGCTGAAATTCTGCATGTGACGTTATACAAATCTCTATAGATCAAGTACCAAATTACAGCTCTGAACTATTTGTGGTTTCTGACTTACAGGTGTTTGAACTGAGTAAAGTCTGAAAATGGAGCCTGTTGAGTGTTGTGAAGTGATCCGCTTTTTCTATTGGGAAGGACTCACCATGGGAGACTTTTGATCAAATTAAAGTAAATTATGCTGATTATGCCCATTATATGACCTTGCAAAATGTTTTACAAAGTTATTTTATGGGACATTATCACTATAAGTTACTTTCAAATGCAAAAACTCAGATTTGACTCAGTTTTAACAGCAGTAAATCAGAAACCACAGAGCTCAGAGCTGTAATTTGCTATTTAATCTATAGTAGGCTTGTCCCGATCCGATACGTGGATCGGATCGGGACGCCGATATTGGCAAAAAAATGCGTATCGGCAAAGCATGTAAAATGCCGATCCAGACTGCCGATCCAGTTTTTAAAAAAAAATCCGGTCCTTATTTTCCAGTTTCGCCGATTGAAACGATCCATTCCACTATTTTGCGCCAGTGTTTCCCTGTTTTGCATTTTTATTAAAACTTACAGTAATACTTGCACCTTTAACTGTTTACGGTTTTACTGTTCACTGTGCAATTTCAGATTGCTATTCATAATTTTGTCCAGTTTGTGTTTATCTCTTAACAGGTAAGTTTGTTGTTACCAAGCATTGTGTTTTATTCAATCTCACCTAATTCAGCTGGCTAGATGTTATCAAGAGTACTAAAACCCTTTTCAACCCTTTTCAACATGAGTCTTACAACTAAGGCTAAATACTTTAACTTAAACTTAAATACATGCTCGGATAGGCTGGTATCGGCCAGTATCGGTATCGGATCGGAAGTCCAAAAACAATATCGGTATCGGATCGGAAGTGCAAAAACCTGGATCGGGACATCTCTAATCTATAGCGATTTAAAATACCTCACATACAAAATTTCAGCTCAAACATCTGGAAGTGTATATATATATATATATATATATATAAAATAAAATATCTTAGATGTAGACAATTCAGTATGAGTTGTTTCAGTTATGTAGCTACTTTATAAAATATTTATTTTTTAGGAGGTGATGACACCTTTTTCGAAAGCACTCGTAGAAGATATGAGTCAAGAGAAACAGGATTACAATAGATAAAAAACATGTTATGTGGTACCTACCTCTAAAGATATTTCCAGGCATTCTGTTTGGTGATCATCTAAAAAGGCAGAAACGCTTTTTTCACTCAGATTTTTCCACTGTTTACTGTAGCTGCACTGCAGGCACTGCTGGTTCAGGACTAGCAGCGCCCCATGGACAAACTTTTCCGTCTTCACTTTAGATTGACACAAAGGACACTCTGCACTGAACAGCTGGAGAAGCTGCTTTTCACTTACAATATATTTCTTAGTCTTATGAAGCAGGTTGACTCTGAAAAACACATTTATATTGGAGTTTTAGAGATCGATTTTTTAAAACCCTAGACTTGAATAAAAAAAAAAAATAAAATAAAAAATAAAAAAAACATAATAGGCTGACAAATAATTACTATAAAATGTAAAAGAATGAGAGAACAGTTGGAGAGAAACTCACTTTTCCATGATTTCTTGCAGCATTTTACAATAAACTGACTCTGAAGATTCAGAAACTTTGCTTAATGCTGGGCTTCCAGGGGCGCCTGCAAAATAAAGTCAGAAATGAATAAAAACATTCAAGGCAAAGAAGCGATTCTGCACCAGTCTTCAAGTTCTCTCACTTAATGTGGATGTCTCGTCTTTGACCCACGCTGATGATCCTGGGGTTGGACTGTCATGTGGTATTGACTGCTCAAGTTTAAAATCAGCATCTATCGGCTCAATTGTTTCCTAAAAACAAACAAAAACAGTAAAATTCAAGCAAAACAACTATACAGAATAACAGACAACCCCTTAAAGCGACATTGTAAGTTTAGCCACAAGGGACACCAGGTTTTTACTTCCAGGTTTTAGCTTAGCTCTCATGTTTAAGGGGATCTCAGTGGAAGTAAAGCACTGATCATTCAGTGACTGATCCCACCCTGTCAAGTTACAAAGCTTAGTTTTTGAAATAGGCAGCCTGCATGGAGCATTGATATGTACAAAGTGATTTATACTCCAGGGCGCCATATGCTCTCATTAGACACAATGAATGGAACAAATTAACAAGAAAATTTGTAAATAGTGGGGAAAAACAATCCACAGCTGAAGAATCCGGTGTCCCTCAAAATCAGAGTCTGGTTTTCAAAAAAAAAAAAAAAAAAAAAAGAGAGAAAGGTTTGTTGCCTGAATAGTCAAAATTACTGTTGAGTAAAAAAAGCTATCTATCTGCTATCTACAGTATCTATCTATAGTTGATCCTCCTAAAGGTTGGAGCGGAATTACATCGTTAATGATGTCAACCGACTGGGTACTGCTGTGCATCTTAAATAGAAAATGATTGTTTGTTGTTTGTTTGTTTTTCCAAGAAAATTTAAACAGAATGAACTCAGCATTTAAAGAGGCTCTCTTATGTCTGTAACTAACAGAGAGGCCAAGCAACTAAGCCAGACAGCTCAGAGCTGAGAATTTACATTTACAGACCAGGCAGCTGGAAAATCCATGGTCCTTAGAGGGTTAACATCAGTTGAACACTAGTAAATGTTTAGCTGGATATTTATATTACGGTAACTAACTGTCCTTCTCCCTCCATCCTGTAAAGAGATGATCCATCAGCAGCAGCCCCTCTCTTCATCCCTGCCCCCTTTTTGAGTTAAGCAGGTAAGCTATATTATGTTCAGGGACAGGCCAGTTAGCAACACTATAGAGTCTGGGAATTTTTCTCTTTTTAACATTTCAAAAACCTAAATGTTAACTCATTACACATATATACATTTTAAAATTGAAACACATTTTTATTTTTGCTCACTTTTGATCACTATAAAATCAACATGGCCTGCAGTTGTTTATACTGTATCCTGGACAGTTGAAGGTAAACACTGAATTGGCTCCAGCAGCCTGTATTAAAATAACTGTCAGTGTTAAAATTGTTCATTTAGCTTTTAACATTTGGATTGGATTACAACCATTGAAAGGCATCCATTATCTTAATCCTTATATAAACAGCCTGATATCACTGCCCAAAATTCCTGGTGGCACACTGGTTTATACTAACCTGAAAAATAAATTAACACAGAATGAAGTCAGTATTTGGGTAAAAAGTTAAACAGTGTTGCTTTAAAGCAACCTAAATGATAAAGAAATGATTTACCAAATGGGTGGTTGGAGATATAAAACATTCTTTTTACTTGACTTTTGGGCATGGACCATTTTGCAGTCCCTGACAGATGAATGTTCAATACCTCCCCAGATTTTTGCTATTTTTAACTAAAGCTCCCATTAGAGCAACCATAAATGGTGCCTTCAATTATGGCATTATTGCTGCAAAAGTTCATTCTTTGGGAAAGACTAAAAAACATCCAATTACTTGACCAATGTAATTGGAAAAATAGACATTTTCTTCAAAACTTGTACTCCCTAAATGGTGTGTAGCTTGTACACAAAAGGTCGGAACACACTGAATCAGATTTTTGCGTCCGATCTGACAGAAAATTAATTATTATCTTACGCGGTTACAAAGTAAAACACATCGACTTTGGGGGAAATTATGAAATAAAATATTAATCGCACAGGGAAACAGCCAAGTTTTGTAGTCGCACATTGCGTATATCGTAAGGGGCTACAAAAGCCAAACAGCAGTGTGATGAATAAAATTAAGATTTATGTCTGGCAACAAAAGTCTAAACCTCCCAAAAAAATTAACAACTGTGACTGTGAAAAAATGAAGGTAAAATTACACAAACACCTACATAAGCAGTAGTTTGTGGTATCAATAAGATTTAGTTGACAGAAAATGTATGTTTTAGCTACAGCAGCATATCATATTTTGAAGTTTGCCTGCTCTCTCTATAGATTAATTATCTTGGATCTTAAAACTTATTACATAAAACTCGAATGCAGATTTTTTTTTTTTTTTTTTTTTTACATAATATGTAATATGTAAAAATGTAAGTAGTCAAATAGCTACAAATAACACATGCCTTTAACTCTCGTATGTACCACAGAATCCTGGTTATCCCTATTTATTTGTGTTTCTTTAGAACAGCGGTGGGCAATTCCAGTTCCTGAGGGCCGCTGTCCTGCAACTTTTAGATGTTTCATTGGTTCAGCACACCTGAATTAAATAATTAGATGATTGAGAGGACTCTGGAGGAAGTGGTGTGTTGGTGTGTTGGAGCAAGGATGGATCTAAAAGTTGCAGGATATCGGCCCCCAGGAACTGGAATTGCCCACCCCTGCTATAGAACATGCAGCAAGCTACCCTTCACTTCTTTCCCACCACCTTTTAACACTTATGATAACCAGGGATTGCACTGGTTCAATGGGCTGGACTTTATAATATACCTAGGTTTAACTGTACATAAGGAAAAATGCTGAAAATGAAGCTGATGAGAAGAAAAGGGTACAAATATGGAAATCTATGCATTATAAAAACTGGTTGGGACATCGAAACTCAAAAAAGAGAAAAACATCTGCAGAACAAACTTTTCTAGATGGCTTAATGGAATCTCACCTGTTTCACTTCCAGATCAGCAGGCCTATACACTGATGGCACAGCGTCTGTATTCAGCAGAGCGATGCTAGTAGCTGGATTCACTTGGAGAAAGCAGCTAGGTGTGAAGTGTTCAGCACAAACTCTGATGTCAACCCATGAGGATTCTGTAATTCTCTGACCATTTACTAGAAAAAGAAACTGGACCCATTCCAGTCTCTTATCTGGGTCTGCTGGTAGACTGAAGCACTGCACTCCACGACGCCATGAATCACATCTGACCACAGAGCATCTCCTGGATTTAAAGGAGTCATCTGTGTTTTCTCTAAAGGAGGGAGAGAGAGAGAGAGAGAAAGGGGGAGACATGTTAAGTTTCTGCTACCCCTCCTCTACTCCAGAGGGAGTTTAAAGCCTGTATTGGGAAACAATAAAAGCATATATAGTAACGATACATAAAGGACTGCTGACAAAACAAGAGTAAGATAAAAAGATCTGAGAACGAGCCCAAGTCATGAGACCTCCATTAATACTGCTGGTATCCCATACTTTGTATTCTGAATATGGCATGTAATCTTTCTAATAGAATGTTTATCCTGTCTAATACATTGTCTGGAATATGTTTAACTCTAATCACAAACATTTATTTCACTTCCATTGGAATCATGCAGCCCCACAACAATCCTAGAGCAATCTTAGTTTTAACCTTAGAACCGGATCTTTTATCAAAAAAAAAAAATATTCAGATTAAATTGCAAAATCCTGTAATGGCTATAATCTCTGCAGTGGAAAAGGGGCTGGTGGTAATGTTTTAGAACTTCACTCTTAGTCTTAATGAGGTGTTTAAAATCTTAGCTAGAACATTAAATATTCTTTTACAGGTGCAGACTGTACACAAAAAATGTATCTCCATGTCTCTATCAATGAGTACTATGCTCTATATATAGTTTGCATGAATAAATAACTTACACAACTAACCTGTCATGATCAGGAGACTCATTGACACTAGGTCCGGGAGGTGGAGCTGAATCTTTAACCGGTGTAGAGCATACTTGGTTTCTGTGTTCATAGCTGAACAGAAAAAAAAAAAGAAAAGAGCATATTAAAAAAAGATCAAATGCAAACATTTCCCCAAATACTTGATGCAATGACAAAAAAAAAAAAAAAAATCCCTAAACATTTATAGTCCCTCACATTCTCAGGACTTGCTGCCCATGATAAGAGGCACAAACAATGAAGGAATTCCTGGTAAATGAATTTTTTCCCATTTAAATCTTAATCTGTCTCCCGATTATTTCAAACATCTGAAATATTATGTTCCATCCAAACCTTATCAAATAATAACTAGACCTCTCTAAATACCACAAAGGAGCTACAAACAAGAATCACGTTAGTGGAATGCCTGTTTTGATATATTTGATCAATATATATGTGAATACATTTGCTTATATGATATTTGAGCAAATGTATTTTTCCAAAAGTTGTTAGAAAGGGGTGAGACCTAAACAGATCAAAAATAAATATTCAGGATGTCCATCATGGAAAGACAAACCAATAATAAAAAAACGACAAAAAAAGTTTAGATGAGTAAACTCTTATACTCCTTTTACTCATGTAACTAGCTAGTGCTCATTTACTGTCGGAAAGCTCTATAAAGGAAATTTCGCATCGTATACACTGTGTATACAAAATGACAATAAAGGTTGTTAACTATTTGTCAAAATAGTTAAGCACTGCATTCCAATAAGTTACCACATATAGAAATGAGACCGTGTAACAAAAAACATTTATGACCATTGCTGTTGCATGATGAGAAATTTTTTTTACACATTTTGTGACCATGAGTTAAAACTGTTTGATTGTTTAGCTATTAAAAAAAAATCTAAATTATTCCAAAAGGTATTTTCACGACCATAAGGCGCACCGTACTAAAAAGTGCAGTCTCAGTTATGTGTGCCAGTACTGTACTGTACAACAGTAAACGACGCCTTTTCATACCCCGTTGTGTGCATCGCTACCGTGCTGGTCCCCTTCTTCTCCACCGTGTGATTCACCGGGATGTCGAAAGTGAGCGGCACCTCGTCCATGTTGGTGATGTGGCTTGGCTGGAAAAGTTTGTCGGCGATGTGTTGGCTGCAGTAGGAGTGGAAGCTCGCCAGCTTTTCATTATAATCCACCGGACGTTGCTGCGCTACTGTATTCCTGGTCCGGATGGAAAAATGGCACCGTTTCATAAAACGAAAGCACCACGATGGACCTCCTTGAAAATGTTCAATTTTCATTTCTTCCGCTAGCGTTACGGCTTTCCGTCGAACAGTGACCGTCGAAACGCTGGCCCCACTCGTTCTTTGCTCGATGATCCACCGCTCGAGTCTTTCCTCCAACTCGGGCCACCTCGCCTTATGTCCGCGGAAACTCAGCTGCGTCTTCTTCACCTGTTTGAGTTTGTTTTCCAGCTTCCTCCACTTGCGAACCATTGATTCATTAATCTTGAATTCTCTCGCAGCTGCTCGATTTCCATGTTCCTCTGCGTAGCTGATAGCCTTCAGTTTAAACTGGGCTTCATAGGCGTCTCTCTTTGCCATTTTCAGGGCAACAATGTTCTGCAAAAAGCACATACCTGTTATTTTATACACAAGCCACGCCCACACTCCCCCCTATAACGTTCTCATGGTGGTCTCAACAACGTCCGCAGTAACAACACGCAGGGCGCGCCGCACATTTTGAGGGGGGGGGAAAGACGTGTAGATGCGCCTTATAGTCGCGAAAATACATAATACAATAACCATTAAAGAGAAGTATACTACCATATTTTAAATAAAATTCTTGAAATGTCACTAAAGAGTCTTAAAAAATTCAACAGATGCACCAATAGGACTAAAATGATTTTTTTCACTATAAGATGTCGTAACATCCATAGTATCTATGTGGAGAAAAGCACTGGTTTATGAAAGTTAGTTTTGGGGGGCATTTTATAAAATTGTATTCGAAAATAAAAAGGAAATTCAGGTGTACTAATTTAGGGAAAATAAAAGTTGGTATAAAGTTCTAGATAAAGATTTCTTAATGGCTTTGGCCAATTTATTTTGAGGCTATTATTGAAGGTGTTTAAAGTTAAGAGCAGCTGTCGTTATTCTGCCCCTCACTATAAATTAAATATCATCTGGTCCTTATAAGACTTTACTGTGAGCATGGAGGGATGGAGTAGCATGTTAGATGGGATATTTCCTCAGCTTTAGTGAGAAAAGTCCTCTCAAATGCAAATCTCTTTGAAACCATTTTTTATCATTTTTTTTATTTATGTCAATGGTTAAAATTGTAATTTCATCTGGCCTCCTTATCTTTAGTGAGGACAATTTCTTAAAAAAAAAAAAGCGTCTTTTACAGGTGTCACAGATAGGAGCGTTGCAACATTTAGGAGCATGCAATTCACATTTCTTTACATTTTAAAATTTTATTATATTTACATTTATCAGGTCAATAGCTGGAAGTATTTGAGACTGTACTTTTTTGCCAACAACTCTGTCATCTGAGGCTGAAAGGGAGAAATCCCTGCCTGCAATTTGACTCAGCAATCCATCTTAATGCATTGTTTTGAGAGAACTAAGATAAAAAAAAAAAAAACCTTATCTAATATAAGAAAAATTATTTATAGGGTGAAATATTTCAGTGAAAATAAGAGGATTGATTACATTTGCAGGGAACTTCCAAGTCATTTGTACATAATCAACATTTTCTCCAGTCTTCTACATTCATGTCAAATACTTAAACCACCAAACCTCACAGAGGGAATGAAACCTATTGCATAACAATTTATTTAAATCTGTCACCTCGTTACAGTATTAGCTTCCACTGTTAATTTTTAAGTTAAATGTTTTTCATTTGAGAAAAATTACAACTTTTGTGATTATAGTGTCTTCAGTTCAAACAAGTGGTTTGGAAATGTCTAATTTAAGCCATTTAGCCAATGTGCTACCATTTCTTTAATTAGTGAATCTGTGATTCAGCTCATTGTCTCCTGAAGAAGGCAGCATACCTGCATTTAGCTTCATTACTTCCACCTTTAGGTGAATAGCTACACCTGTTAAGCCTGGCTTGTCGTCTGTGAAACTGATGAAGCCAGGACCTAGTTATCATGCTATGTCAAGCCTGACTTTATCCCTTATCCTGGATTTCTGAATTCAATTTTTTCGTAAAATAGGGCACTGAATTATGTATTCAAAATTAGCAACACAGAGTTAGCCTAGCGTCAAAATTGATTAATACATCTTGCATATCATGAATACATGTTTGCCATGTTTTTAATACAGTCAGAACACTAGACAAGTCAATAATTACTCATTATGTTTCACATGTACAGGCTGTGATGAGCAGTTTTAATGGAAAACCAGTTTATTTAAAAATAAACTTTCTAGAAAGCTGTTACAAGTTCTGAGGAAAATAAATAAATCATTGTTCTCCTTGTGAAGGTTTGATCCCAGACGGCTCATTCTCTTAGTGGGTAAATTGCTTTTTCTTCTGCTTCTTTCCATTTAATTTTCTATTTTTCACAGCCTTTAATTTAAAGTTTTTAGGGCGTCCAATAGGCCTTCCTGTGCTCCTTCTTTTAGATTTAGATCTATAAAATCCCTCCGTCTGCATCTCATCATCTGTCCCCTCTGCATCATAATCGCTGACTTCTTCTTCTTCTTCTTCACTGTCACTTTCTTCTGTGCTTTTTCTGAACCCATTAGATTGAGTGCGATGTCTGTCACTTTCCTGGCTGCTTTTTGTATCTTTTTTTTGTTCTGGTGCAGAGTGTGCAGCGTGGTAACGCTGCACGTGGTTTTTCAAGCTCACATTGTGAGTGAAGCACTTCTCACAATGCTGACACTTGTAAGGCCGCTCCCCTGTATGCAGGCGCATGTGGGACTTCAGATGACTCGACTGGTTGAAGCCACGCTGACACACTGAGCACTTGTACGGTTTTTCTCCAGTATGGGTCAATAAATGTCTCTGAATGGAAAGAGCACGGAGAAACTCAACGCCACAAAAGCGACACTTTAACTCTATCGTTCCTCTGTGATTCTCCAAGTGGATTCTGCGCTCCTTGTTCGTGGCAAAGGTCTCTGAACAGTCTGGGCATTTGTACGGCTTCCCTTGGGTTATATGCATCTGCTCATGTGCATATTTTTCCGCTTTTAACTTGAATGTAACATTGCAGAACTTGCAATGAAACTCGTAGTCCTCATTATGGATTCTGCTGTGAAAATTCAGAGCCACCTGGTTGACGCATCTTTTTCCACAAATATAACAGCAGTAGGGCTTCACCTTGTGCTCACATGTGTGAGGTTTCCGTTTATCGAAGAATCTTCCACAGTCTGTACAGAGCTGATTGTGTATGGGAGTGAGTGAGAGGTAATCACAGTACTCAATATAGTCTGTAGAATCATTGTTTTGTTTAGCAGGAAATAATTTTACAGGGAAAACACCCAGCGGAGGTTTCCATTCCTCATCTGAATCCATTTCACTCGGATCACAGGATTCTGGTGATTCAATGACAGCAGAGGTCTCAGGAGACTCTGCAATATGGCTGCCGGTTTCATCTTTTGCTGCAGCCTGTGGTGAAAATAAAATTTATAGGTGAACGTTTAATAGCAAAAGGGAAAAATGAACCATACAATAAAATCTTAAGACCATGAGCATAAATGGACTCATTTTGATAGCATAAAAATAAACAAAAAAAGGCACCAATTTTCAGAAAAGCTAGGATTAATTTGAATATTTATTTGTTTTATTTATTTGTTTAATCAGCCTTTCATTAGGATATGTGAGACGATGATTTAATGGTTCCACAGGTTTCTTTTTACTAAAGGGGGCTAAGCATTTAACTGAGGGTGCTATGAAGCATCCTTTGTGTTTAGATTGTTTTTATGCACACAGATGTAAACAGAAACAGAGGTACACACACTCTTCTTAAATCTACAGAAGTCAACAATAAGGTTGATAGGAAATAAGTGGTTAATGGTTAAATTAATTCAGTACAGCATTTTATTTGTTTATCTTTCAACTCTTCCCTTTTATGTTATTCTTGTACACTTTTCTCTGGTCCACATTTGTGTGACTATTTTTTCTATAATCTTTTTGCTGCTGTAAACCCCAGAATATCCCCATTGGGGGACAATAAAGGGATTTTCTATTCCATTCTATTCTATTCTAAAAGAAGTATGTAGAGTCTATTGTCGTATATAAACTGTTATAAGCAATTTGCTGTATTTTATTGTATTTTAGACCTGGGAAAATAAAATAGAGTAATTCATCATGAATTTATTAACAGCGTTTGGTTAAGTAGATGTAAGATTATTAATATGTAAATTAATAATACATGTTGAGTTACCTAGCAGTAGCCACAGTCCTTAACTAGCAGTAATTTATAGAATGCATCAGTGGAATATTAGAGCACAAATGTGACCGATCTAGGACGTATTATGGAAAGCTCTCTGCCTACTCGCGATGACCTACTCGCCCCACATGCTATTTTCAAGTTAAATCAAAGTTGAAGAAACCACTTGTTATGGTTATAATAGAGATAGAAATATTTGAACTGCAAAAAAAAAATTAAATAATGACAGAAAAAGACAGAACATTAATATTCATGAGTTTTAAGTAATTTAATTGACCTTTAAAAATACTAACTGGGGCTGGACATTTTATATCACTATAGAGGAGGGTTTTTTTATGCATTTAAACGTTTTTTCAATCTAAAGTAAATTTCTATTTGGAACTGGTTGTATTGTTCAAGGATAATATCACAACAACAATAACTTCCAAGGAAAAGTATTAGTCTAAATTGTTTTCCCAGGTGTAGCTATAGGACCTCCTAGCGGCCACTGGCAGCGCTGCAGCCACAATTAAGTGTGGGCAGATTTATTTTATTATTCCGAATGTTAACTTGGTAAATAAAATGAAAATGGTCTTATTCTAGAAACACGTTTATAATAATATTGAAGAAAATATGTCAAAGTGTAAGATAAATGCAGAGGATGAGACAACAGGAGGAGTTAGAGGAGCACATACCTTCAATTCATAGCTCTCCTCGGTTCCCATATGTGTGCGCAGCGATGGGACCACACCGGGTTTCAACTGGACTGTGTCCGCAACATTAATCAGACAGTCGCCTGTGAAGTGCTCGCTACAAACAGATATATCAGTCCATGACGACTCTCTAAAACGCTGCTCGTTAGCTTTAGCTAAAAACATGACCCATTGCTGTCTCTCCTCTGGGTCCTCTGGTAACTTAAACCGCGGCGCACTGCGAGGCGATGAATCACATCCAGCAACGGAGCACATCCCGGATTTAAATTTGGTTGCTGTGACTCTTAAATAGCCTTTTGAAAACTCTTTACTATAAACAATGTTTTAAGCGGATGCTGCATTTTTCTTACAGCTGCAATTAGCTGCTTCTTCTTCTTTTTTTTATGGCGGTTGGCAAGCAACTTATTGATGTGCATTACCGCCATCTACTGGAATGGAGCGTTGATAAGGACGCTGTATATAAATTCTCCCACAAAACAACAACAACAAAAAAGCTGCATTTAGCTTCTTCTTCTTCTGTTGGTAGTTTATAGCGGTTGAAAAACTAATTGTAGCGCATCAGCGCCACCAACTGATATGGAAGTGAACAAGTAAACAGAAAGCAAGACTCACCCCCAGAAAAAAAATGGGTTGGCTGATTTTTAAGAAGAGATTCTATTATATCTGCGGTGTGGGGACTATAAATCTGATGGGATAAAAAGCATTGAGAAGTCATGGAGAGGCATTGTCACTGGTTAATTTAAATAATGAATATAATGCCGAATTCTTATTCCAGGAAAATGGACAGATTATATATAATATCCCAAAAACATTGATCAATTTAGTTCAGGGTTGGCTCAGTAATATCCCAGTTCCTAAACTTAAAAATACAATTATTTTTTCCTATAAAAAAAATACTCCAAAAATTATATCCATGCATTGAGAACCAAATATCTGAAATTTTCTAATTCACCTTAATATACAGATTCATTTCAAAACTTTCAATTACCGTATTTTCACGACCATAAGGCACACCGTACTAAAAGGAGCAGTCTCAGTTATGTGTGCCATTTCTGTATTTAACACACACATAAGGCGCACCGGACTATAGGGCGCGTTTTTTTATATACAGGTACATGTCCTCTACTACCTTTAAATACCTCTACTGCGTATTTAAAAATATAGCAGGCCCAAAACTGAATATGATTGTGCTTTATTCATGTATTTATTACAAAGTATTAATCAAACCTGGGAGCTGGCCGTGAGACAGACACATCCCAGATGATACAGAGCGCTGTGGTCACTCCTAAATTAACTTAAAATCCTGAAACCTGCCGACAGAATATGTTCGCTTTTATTACCGGTATCCTGGTGCCTGCAGTTTAAATTATTTAGATGAAAAACACCTGCCAGCCACCACGGTGAACCCGGAGGCTGCCCGGCCTACAGGCTGCTGATGAACGGATTCCTACTGTCGGTGTACTGCTGGTATGTCGGGGTCTGAGCGCCTCCGACAGAAATAGTATAGGCAGGATGATAATCTGGATGAACTGACTGCAATTATTAAGTTTTCAGGTGGACTTTCTCACTTAAAAACATATTAAAACTACTTTATTCCCACTGATCACAGCAAATATAGCTGCAAGATTTAGATTATTTAGATGAAAAACATCTGCCAGCCGCGGTGAACCCGGCCCAGAGGCTGCTGTTGAATTAAGTTTTCAGGTAGAAAAATAGAGCGGGAGCAAAACTGAGTATGTTTGTGCTTTATTCATGTATTTATTACAAAGTATTAATCAAACCCATCAAAGTCATCATCCTCTGTTTCTGAATTAAACAGCTGCGCTAAATCAGACATGCCAGTTTCCCCCTCTTCGCTGTCAGAGTCACTTTCCGTGCAGCGCGGCTCCTCAGAAATAATGCCGGCTTTTGCAAAAGCTTGAACAACAGAGCCAGCAGACACGTTAGTCCAAGCATCTACAATCCATCCGCAAACTGTGGCGTAACTTGCCCAGCGCTGCCTTCCAGTTTTCCTGAAACTGTGGTCTCCGTCTCTCATCCATCGCTCCCACGCCGCTCGCAGCCTTACTTTGAACGGCCGCTTCACACCGATGTCGAGCGGTTGAAGTTCCTTTGTCAGACCCCCGAGATAACGGTGAGCACAGCGTTTATTTTTTTTCACCACGTTTTTCACATCAGCTGTGAGATGGGCAAGCATGGAGTCACATATTAAAAGCGATGGTGATGCGTGGAAAAAACCACCTGGTCTCCTCACATACACCTGCCTCAGCCACGCTTTCATCATCTCCTCATTCATCCAGCCCTTTCATTTGCTTTAATATCATATGTCATCAGAGCGCTGTGTCTGTCTCGCTGTGAGCTCCCAGATCAGCTTCTCTGATTCGTTGATGCGGCGCTTCCAGCAGCAAAACTTCAATTTTTCCATCTCGAGCAGCAGCTGCGCCTGCTGCTCAAAACGCGCTGCGGGACCTTTTGCTGCGTCTATACGCTCGTCAACAGTTGACTTTGCATGTAAACTCGCTGCTTCTGCTGCACCTGCTGCGTCCGGTTAACAGCGAGCACAGCATTAATTTGTTTCACCATGTTTTTCACATCAGCTGTGAGATGGGCACGCATGGAGTCAGATTAACAGCGATGGTGTGGTGATGAGTGGAAAAAAAAACACCTGGTCTCCTTACATTCACCTCCCTCAGCCACTCACTCGCAGTTGCAACACACATAGGGCGTACCGCACCAAAGGGCGCACCGCACATTTTGAGGGAAAAAAAAGACTTATAGTCGTGAAAATACGGTACCTTTATCCTTCCAACCAAGTCATACAATTCAAATTAAATTCACTGTAGATAAATGTCGTCTATGTGAGCAAGAAGAGGAATTAACTCATCAACTTTTTTGTTTTTGTATTATAGTAAAACTAAAACATTTTTATCCTCAGCTCATAACTGGTTGCTCTCTAAATCCTTAACATAAAAGTTCTCACCCCTCCGCAATGAAATTTGATATTATTGCCCAAGATAAACAAATAGAATTTATAATTAGTAATATAATTATTATGGTCAAATTTTTCATACACAAATGTCATCTTTACAAAACTCTCTCTACAATCATAGCATTTAAAAATGAAATAAATATACATGCTTTGTCCTTAAAGAAAATGTCTACCACCAATGCCTAAAGACTATGCCTTTATGTCTGAATGTCATCCTTAATTACCCATTACATCTTATTCTTTCTTTTTCAATCTAGCGATTGTTCCTTGTTAATGTTTCTATCTTTATTTGATGATCTGATTTACTATAGCATAAGTTTTATTAAATTTTCTTTATTGCTATTTTGCACTTTGCTTTACTAAGTTTTTTTTGTTGTTGTTGAATGCAAGATATTTTGCAGATACATTTTTATATGAGGGGGCCATGGAGAAGATTGTTTTGAAAGCTCTGACTGGAATATGTTCAAAGCTGCAGCAACCTATGACAACATATTAAATATAGATGAGTATGCCATGACTGTGTCAGCCTACATCGATAAGTGCATTGAGGACATCAGCATCACAAAGAACATCACCAACCAAGCTAACCAACGACCCTAGATGAATGGAGAGGTTCGGAAATCACTAAAAGCACGAAACTCAGCTTTCAAGTCTGGTGATAAGGTACTAAGAGGCACTCAGAACAGCACATGCCAACTTGAACCATGCAACCAGATCAACGAAACAGCAACTTTTCACAGCCAGAAGATCCAGGATCTTTTCCACGACGACAGCAACACCAGGAGCAGCAAACACTGACTTCCTAAATGAACTAAACACATTTTTGGAAGGTTTGACGCACTAAACAGCACTCCAGCAGTGAAAGCTGTTCCACACCAGGGGTAGGAGGCCCTCAACCTGGACGTAGCTGAAGTGAGAAAGACTGAGGAGATTCAATCCAAGGAAGGCCCAGGGCCTGATAACATACCTGGACGGGTGTATAAGGAGTGTGCAGATCAGCTGGCTGGTGTCCTCACAGACATTTTTAACACCTCGCTGGACCAATCCATACTGCCAGCATGCTTCAAGTCTGCCACCATCATTCCAGTCCCAAAAAAGCCTCACGTCACCTCACTGACTCCAATCATGATGAAGTACTTCAAAAAGCTGGTTAAAGAACACATCATCTCCAGTCACCTGGAGGAGAAGAACACCTACAGTGGATGCTGTTCCTGGACTTCAGTTCAGCTTTCAACACCATCATCCCACAGAATCTAATAGAAAAAATGGAACAGCTGGGATTCAATACACCCCTCTGCAATTGGCTACTAGACTTCCTCACCAACAGACCTCAGTCAGTCCGGGTCAGACAGAACACCTCTGATCACCACCATCTCATCATCCTAAGCACAGGCTCCCCTCAGCCTGAAACATCATCAATGACCCCTCACACCCCCACCATGGACTGTTCTCCCTGCTGTCATCTGAAGAGGCTTTGCAGCATTCAATGCAGATCCAGCAGATTCTGCAACAGTTTCTTCCCCACCGCCATCAGACAGCTGAACTGTTCAGAAAACTCTAAATCATGTCACATACTCTGCATCACACTGATAACACCAAACCGAAACACTGCATAATTGCACCATGCATATTTAACGCTCTGAACTTCCATATCAATGCATGTTTTTTTTTCTCCCACACTGTTTCCATCTGATCACTGCTGCACTTTAAATGGAAATGAGAGCTGTACAAAACGAATTCTGGTGCAACAAAAGTTGTCTTTCTATATATATATACTTTAGATTTACTTATATCTTTCTATCCCATTTATATCAATAAATTTTCACCAATTTCTGAAATGAATCGGCCTCTTCACTTAAAAAAAATGCACCAGCATAAGCCCGTACCTGCTCCTGATAGGGAACGCCCGTTAAACCTGCGCGTGCCCATTTCTCACCGTGTCACTAGCAGTGATGTGAAATGCATTTCTCCAAATAGCCAAACTTTACCTGTCGAGTAGAAATGTCGCAACCGACGCATCAGTGGGAAGCCCGACCTGCGCTTTCAATGTTCGCCATCGTGTGAAAGAAATTCCCAAAAACACTCTGGTCTTGTTTCTCTCTTCTGAGGCCTTTCTCTTATTTTCATAAACCTCATAGACAGTTTTTCTCTTACGACCCTCGGCCATTTTCAAAGAACCGCGATGAGAAAGGCGATCCGTTTTAGTTTTGTTTGTAGCTGAAATGGGCGGAGTTTCGTGGGAGGGTACGATTGTTTTATGTCAGGCGTACACCGGTAGGTAACACGCCACAAACTGTAACATGTATAACATATATACTTATATGAAATTCTCAGCAATAAATGTTTATTTTCTATATATCATTTCATTAATTATCATATATATTGTTGTTTTTATAGGGGGAAAGACATATGCCTAAAACGTTTTTTTTTTTTTTTTTTTTTTTTTTACACTTCATGCCAACTTTCTTCTTGGCTATTATAAACTGTCCAGTTTAAACTGTCACCAATACTGTATTCACAAAAAGCTAAATCTGAAAAGTTGTCAGGTAGATACTCTCATTTTTTAAAACATAAAAAAACAATACCTAAAACATGTATCAGTATTTATTTTATTCCACTAGGTGGCGCTATTAATCTTCAAGTTATGGTTAAATCGGTCATTTTTGACCAGAACAGTGTTAGAAGGTTATACTATGTATGGAGAGCATCCATTCACCATCTTCATCTCATTTTTGACGTAGGTGGCATTTAGAGGCTTTTGCATCTGAACCCTTCATATGTCATTTTATGGGGACATAAACAGTTGATAATTGTCCTTCAAATAAATTTAAACTTTCTAATAAGTCTGATCAGCTAAACTTCCAATGATCTAACCTGGAGGGCCCTGGCTCACGCTGATTTTCAGGAGTTTCAGCAGGGGAGTTGGGTGGTGTCTCTGACTGTAGCAAAGCACTGGTCCTGTTTCTGGCTCTGGTTTGTCTTTTTGCCTCTCTCCATTTCCTTCTTTTTGCCCTCTTCACTCTCTCACTGAGCTCATTGACACCCTTCTTCTTTCCAGTCTCTCTGTCTTTTTTCCATTTGACCCTTTCTTTTTCAAGGTACTTTCTTCTTCTGTCTGGGTCAGCATCACGACGTTCCCGATATCTCCTTGCTATCTCAGCTCCTTTTGATCTCATTCCTTGAAAAAGACGATTCAAAATGTTCCGTTACACATTTTAATTGGCAGTCCCTGTAAAATAGGCTTGCCTTATCAAACTAGGCTTGGTGATACCGATATCGCCAAAAAAATTGTCAAATTTTACTAAGTATAGCATGTACTGTTATAAAATGTGTGTAATAGGTGTTGTAATATGTGTAACATTATCAGCATGTGGTCTTAACTATGCACATGCCCTTCCTGTCTTAAACCATGTCCACCCTGTCAGCAAGCCTTCCATGACAGGGTGGACATTTTTGGCTAATCTTAGCATTTAATGAGCACATGGTGGACCTTCACTTAGCAACATGCTACAGTCAGCAAGCTGAGTATGTACTATTTTACAAATATATTTCAAAGTTTTGATAGGTTTTTCTATCAATTGATATTTCACTATGACAGAGTGGACATGTTAAGCTTGACAACATCCAACTACACACATAATATGATGAAAATTAAGAAACAAGTGTAAATACTTACTCTGCAACTCGCCACTGCTTCAGCCTCCATTGAAGAAAGAAAAAATGCTTGTACTGATGTCACTGAAAACGTCAGTGGGTTTCTTAAAGGGACAGTTACCCCATAATGACAGGGTGGACCGCAATTTCAGGGACACATGCAAAATGTTCAATATATTTATGAAAATACAATATACATGAACAAAATCACTTGTTTTATCAAATAACTTATTGTGGACAATAAAACCTTGTAAACATTTTTTTGGTTTAGTATCATTTAACCACTTATTACACACACTTGTAGTTAGCCGAGCAGTGTATGGGACATACCCAAATCACGTACATCCAATAAAAACAAATTGTATAAAATGAAGGAAACAAATTTTAAGAGAATTGTCATTTTACTGATATGTGTGCAAGTGTTTGGCCACTTATAATAAGACCTCAGACTTTCATTATTCTGCTACATTTTCATGATGACTGAGTGAGTCTGATGAGGACACCAAAGGTACTTCATAGTGATATTGACTCATTAATTTTCCCCCCTAAATGTCTTTATTCTTATGTAGAGGTTAAAAGTATGTATGTAATTAAATCATAAAGTGCTTTTGGATAACAAGAAAACACATTTGTACACAAAATTTTAAAAGATTTTACTTCTTTTTCAAATTTCGGAGTTGCATACTATCAAATAGATTTCAATATTAGACAAAAAACATGAATACAAAATGTAGTTTAATATTTCTTTTTCATCTAATAAGTAAATTTGCCTTAAAAACAAAGTTTAAATTTCACTCACAACACCTATGCACTGGGTGTAGAATGAATAGATAGTTCAAATAAAACATGACTGAAAACAATGTGTTGCATCAAAATGCAACACACAATCCTCCTGATCTAAAGAATTTTTAAAAGACGATGAGATACTAAAACATGGAATAGTGAGAAAGAGACAGAAGCCTACCAAATGACTCCAAGAATGTAAACATAACTAATCTACGAGCTGGCTTCACTAGTTAAACTCTCATGTTTAACAATAGGAAAACTGGATAGCTTAAGAGATAAGAAAACACAAGGAATGTCTGATGTATTACTTCTGCCACTTTTCAGAGAATATTACACCAACAGACTAACACATGTGGCAGTGTGTGATTGTCTTTGGCTGCTTTGCTCCTTCAATTACTGGATGGCTTAGACTCAAACAAATTTTATTGCCATTTTTTATACACAGAGTGTATACAAAACAAATTTCCTTTTGTACAGCTTTTAGACAGTGAACAAGCAGCAGCTTAGCAATGAATTAAAATTTTCCTTCAATAAAGTGCAGCAGTGATCAATTGTAAACAGTGTGGGAGAAAAAAAATTAGGGCAAAAGCGCATTGATAAGGAAGTTCAGAGCATTTCAAGACAAAAATATGGTGCAAGTATGCAGTATTTTGGTTTGGTGTGATGCAGTGAGTCAGTGACTTTATTTAGAGTTGTTTTTTTTTTTTCAACAGCAGTCTGATGGCAGTGGGGAAGGAGCTGTTATGGAATCTGCTGGTCCTGCATCGAATGCAGTCCATATTGGGGGTGTGAGGGGTCGTTGATGATGTTACGGGCTTGTGACACGCAGCAGTGGGATGATATGTCTTTTATGGAGAGAAGCGGAGCCCCGATGGTCTTCTCTGCCATTGTCACCACTCTTCTCACTTTCTTCCAGTCTGATGCGCTGCAGCCTCCACACCACACAGTGAGACAGCTGATCAGAACGCTCTCTATGGTGCTTCTGTAGAAGGTCCTGATGAGGGTGGGGGCAGGTGAGCTGTCCTCATCAAGTACAAGCACTTTTGTGCCCTTTTGACCAGTGAGATGGTGTTGACTTGTGTATTGACTTGTCAAGATTAAAAATGGAAGTAGAATTCTGCTCTACACCAGCAGGTGCTGAAGAAAAAAATTGGGTAGCAGTTCATGACCTTTAGCTCAAGTACCCCAATTACATTGTCAGAAGCACAGAAGCAATTCCTCTGAATGGTTTGGAAATAATGTTATTCACAATTTATTTCACTGTGTTAACTATTAATAAGAGCTTTGGTCATTTAATAATGTTATTTTTGTCAGATCTAAAAATCTGTTTGATTTGCCAAAGAGTGACATGAGCGTCAGAATGGCCCCTGAACCAAAAATTTGGCTCCTGAAACAAACAAGCTGGCATGTTAACAGCTGCAGCTTACCTGTGCAGCAGATGGCAAAGAAATTGAGTGATATGAGCATTTTAGGCTCTATACAAGTGCTAAGGTTCTCATGATTGATGGAAGGTGTCACAATGCTTTGAGAATTAAGGCTTAACACCAACAAAGAACGAGATCAAGATTATTTTCATGCCATGTCAACACCCCATTCCATTTGTAATGATTTAGAGCAAGTAATTCCAGAAAACTGAGAGAAAGAAATAAATCAAAAACATTGTTCAAATAAAAAAAAAGTTTTTTGTCTGTACAAAGGAATCTCTTCCCTCTCAGCCAAGTTTTAACACCCCATCTTCCTCCATCATACCATTTCTGGGAAAAAGAGCAAAAGGCAAAGTCAAAACATGTCAGCTGTCTTTTGAATTCACAGAGGAATGTTGGCAAGTTTTTATCCTGTCAGTCACTTGGCCAGATAAGAATTTTGCTCTAAGATTGATGCCATTGCATACCAGCAGTTCCTACTCTGTGTTTTCCCATAGAAGCTTCACTGTTAAAGGCATTTAAAATATTTCAAAAGCTCACATCCTCTCTGCCCTGGTCCAGGCTTGTTTAAACTTTTTTGTTTAAAACAACCATATTTCCCGATCCACATTGAAGCACCTTGTGGTGATTTCTTCCACAACTGCGTCAAAATGTAAAACATATTTTCTTTCAACGTATCATTTATAAATAGTCAGTAAGAAAAAAAGATATTCTAAAAAGTATTTCTTACATGGGAATTTGGAGTTTTGGTTTAGGTAGATTTAGGTTTCAGAAATCCACAAATGCCAACCATGCAGACGTTATAAGAAAAAAATGTCATGTTGAAATGCTGCTTTTAAAGCAATGCAGGTTTAAATATAGTTAATTCCTATTTAACGCTCTTCAGTCAGATTTATATCACAGATTGCATCTTAATCTTTGTTTTAAAATATTTAATGGTTGAACGATAGGCTGATGAGTAAGCACTCACTAATACTACAGGTCATTACTTAGTTTTTTTAAACAAACAAAATGTTTCTACCTTCACACAAATAATCACTATAATAACACATCAATTTTAAACCATAGGATTTAAAATGATGTTGGCTCATGCTTTAGATTTACAGCTGCTTCAGCGGTTTTGGAAAGGCTTTCAGATATCGTTAATGGGTGCATTCTTATGTTGGATGAGAGATCCTGGCTCATGGTTCCCACTATAAAACATCACAAAGGTGTTCTGTTGGGCTCAGGTCAGAGCTCTGTTCAGTCAGGTTCCTTCACACCAAACTGACTCATCACAGTCTTTATGCACCAGTGCACAGCCATGTTGGAAAAGGAAAAGATAGTCCCTTATCTTTCCCCACAAAGTTGGAAGCATGAAAATGTCCATAATACCTTAAAATGTTGAAGCATAAAAGCTTCCTGTCCTAGAATGTGTTTTTTTTTAAATAACTTTTCTCTATTCTTACAGCATATTAAGTTTTTACCTTGGTAAACACACAGATGCATCTCATAACATTTGATTATTACAAAAAAATGAGCTCCTTTTCTGTCACTCATTAAACAAAAACAAAGTTTTATTGAAGTCTGTGTTTTTCTGTTTTTTTCATGAATATGGCTTACAGATAATGAATACCCAAAATGTAACATCTCAGAGAAGTTCAATATTTGAAACTCATGTTAATGGGGGAGTGGCGGCCTAGTGGTTAGGGCATAGAGCTTTAAATTCTAAGGTTGGAAGTTTGACGCCCACTCCCACAGACTGCCACTCTGGGTGTCTGAGCAAGACCCTTAACCCTTCTGCACCCCACGATGGCAGCTCACTGCTCCCCAAGGGAATGAGTTAAATGCATATGGGGTAAATTTCTCCAATGTGAGATCAATACAGTTCAATTATTGCCATACCCTAAACAGCCGATTAACTTAAAATGCCTTCCCAGGTTTGCCTAGCCTTTAAATAGTGTCTCTGTTGGGGTCACCTATATGGGAAAGATGGCTGACGTTAGAATTTTAGAGGACAGACACTGAGACCCACCAAAGAAGGTCATTGCTAAGAATTCACAGACTGCTGTATACAACCTGCAGAAACAGTGTTGAGAGGATCGACAAGCAACATTTATTGGGGGAGCTTCAGGAGAGAGGCTGGAGTCAGCAAATCCATGGCACCACAAACAGTAAACATGGGTGAAAAAATTGTCAAGCCACTTCTGAACCAGAGAAAACTGTTGTGTGGTGGTCCAAAGATTTCTCATAGGTGAAGGTTGCATTTAACTCTGGAGGAAGAGACAAGAGGCACAGAATCCATATTGCTTGAAGTCCAGTGGGAAGTTTTCAGAGTCATCGATGATTTGAGTTGCAATACCATATACTGCTGTAAGCTCACTGCATTTCGCCACAGCGAACACAGCTATCTACCAGGAAATGCTACAGTCCTTTTGACTGCTAAAAACTTTTAAGCATATCCTATTTTTATTTTCCTGCAGAATTTGACACCTGCCCTCATCGCAGATTCATTGACCTGAGGCCACTACCAAAGCAACCACGGCTGCCATTGCACCTCCCTGAGTGCAGGCTGATGTCCTCCATGCTACACTGATGCAGAAATGAATGCATAGAAATGAACATACATTTTGAAACCATGTTTTTATCCTCTGTTTACATTTTATGAGACAATGCATCATCAAAAATGAGCAACTGCTTTATTTAAACACTGCAGGAACGTTTTTAACATGCTGACACTATAATGTATAATGTTCTCCATGTCACTATCATACCCAGTGTTGTGTTCCTGTTTTTGAAGCCCGAGGGACTCTATTGCCAATAACATGACTCTCGATCCTCCCTTCATTACACCCTGAGTATTGTTCCAGCAATAGTTGCAGGCAATAAAAGCTTTTAGGAATGCAACGTGTTAGCCAAGTCACAACAGAAATTTCAAACAGTATTAGTGGCTAATCTAGGAAAAACCTGTTTTTGTCTCTATAGGGTTATGTATCCCTGTGAGAATTTGATCTATGTCAAGCCTGCTCTTCATGGCAAGAAGAGAACAAGAGAACAGGCCACCCGATAAGGCTAAACCCAAAAGAATGGTACTCATTAATGAAGAGAGCTTTTTGCAGCGGTGGAGCAAAAGGGCAGGGGTGAGGGGATAGGTTGACAATGATACAGGAGTGGTAGATATAAAACTTTTAGAAGAACTGATGATTTATTAACATGTAGTAGCAGAGACAACTGGTGCTTACCGCCTGAGAAACACAAGAAGTCAGGTCATGTTTATCGGAACGCTTTATTCATTGCTTTACGAGATGTTGCATAAATTCAACTGTAGATTTCACCAAAAAAAGCCTGTTTTTGAGGTCAATTGTGATTGGTTGTGTACAGCTCGACAAGGCTGTGCTTATCGGCTCATAACTTACAAAAAATCTCTTTGGTATCCTTCTCAAACCACTGCTGTGTCTGAAATAACAATACAAACATTTGTATAAAATATAAAATAAATTTATTAAACTTGTCTGTTAGTTCGCAGCTTACAGTAAACAAAATAATAATTTTTTCGGCCCCCCTCAGTGGTAACCAAACCGGCAGAATCACCACACCGGGGAACGCACACACTGCTAGCACACATGCAAACATACTTTGAGAGGAAAGGGGTGTTTGAAAAAAAACCCAAAAAGAAATGCAACAACGTCCCCTAAAACTACTTTTTCTGAGTAAGTTTAAATAATTATTAATAAAAATACTTTATATATTACGCACCTCATTACTCACATATCTCAAATCCTTTGCAGAACCAGCTGCTCCGGCTAGAGAAACATGAGCAGTAGGGCTTTATATCTTGTTATCAGTTTAAATTAATGAGATCGGGGCAGTCCTCCAAAAAGTGTGGTGGTGGTATACACAATATTAAATCCACAAAAGAGGCAGGAGAGAGGAAATAAACAGATTTATAACCCCTTTCTGAAGATTTAACAAAAAAAAATATATATATATATATATAATATTTAGGGAATGTGAAAAACCAGATAAGAATATAGCTCCTTAAATTAGAGGGGAGAAAAATAAAATATATAATACAATTATATTAATAAAAGTCAAGGGGATAAGCAGCATTTTTATATTTAGAGAAAGAAATATTAATATAAATAGTATGACACATATTGCCATATTACAATCCACAATACTGTCCAAGTACCTGGGAGGATTGTTCTTTTCTCCCTGTGCCGGGCAGACTGCCTGCAGGTGTCCGGTTCAGTGTGAGAAAGAGGCTCAGAGCCCAGCTCTGCCACCGACATGAGAAAACAGTCCTTTTCCTCAAATTCCGCCCCTTTCTTCTCAGCTTTCACACATTCACGATTTTTCGTCGTTTCTTTTCTTGCAGTTTTCACAGATACTAAAACGTCTTTTTTCTTTCATTTAACATCCAAATTTTGGTTGCTTAAATGAAGATTTCCACTGCCTCCGACTCCAGGTCGTCCAAGCCACTGAAGGGATCTGACAGCATCTTCTTAGGCCCTGCCTTGTCTGGAGTTTGAGAGAAAGAAGAAAGAAACTGATTTTATAAATGTATGAAGGTTAGAACACTGGGAAACAAATAAAAAAGTTTTCCATTGACTGAAAAGGTTAATGGAAATTGTCCTCAGTCACAGAAAGCAGTCTGTTGAATGTGCTCAAGTCAACAGATTCACATTACTTTTCAACCGTGCACATTCCACAAACCCCTAATTATGAAGCATGACCTGCACTGATGCAACGTGACCGGCTGGTTAATCCTCCCCATAGTTAATCAATGAGAGAATCCATGACCAAAACTACTGGATGTGTGCATTTTAAGTTCTTAGCTTTCTAATGTGGACTGTTTAAGTATTAAACTGCGATTCTGATCCGGTCCCTCACCGTCATTTAGCTTAGTTTTGCTGGTTTCCTCTGTCTGCTTTTCAAGCGTTGAAGGTTCCGACTGTGCAGGGACTGGTTGGGTCGGGCGAATGTCATCGTTTGACAGATTTTTACCTGAGGAGACCATCACAGAAAATGTCATTATCTTTCTGTCAAACATTTTTTGTACTTCTCTGAGATTTGCAATTACTCTTAACGCCTCTGACCTTTACTCTTGCTGCAGGCCGTGCTGATGGAGGGAGTGGAGGAAGCTGGTCGTAGTAGAGTTCCCGCCGTGTTCATGGGGTTCGCTCGAGGGCTCTGCTCATCCTTCTGACTCTGATCCTGATGCAGCCGCTGGGTGAGGATCTTTATCACAGCATCTTTTTCCAATATCTGAGCATAAAGGGCTCGAATCCTGAAGTAAAGGAATATAACAATAATGGTAAGGGGAAAAAAGGATAAACAAACACAAAAATCCTTTCCATCCTCCTTTTCTTAAAATACATTACCTGTTTTCCATTTCCTGGTTCCTGTGGTCAGGAAGTGGCAGGTCTTCGTTGAAGCTGTTGTTAGAGGAGTTGCAGGGTGAATGGTTAATGATGGTTGTGTCTCTGAAACAAACAAATAAAAAATTGTTAAATAAATATACAAAATATTACTGGTTTAAATTCAACTCTAAACTGAAGATCTGTCCAGCTAAATATTAGCTAAAGGTTAAGTGAAGTACCTCTGAGCAGCAGCAGTGGCCGCCACCTCCATGGCGAATTGTCTCATTGTGCTCTCCTCAAGGTATTTCTGCTCCCAACGCACCATGTCAGCTTCCAGGGCCAGGATGCGCTCCTCGCGCTCACGTAAGCGCTCTTGGAGCGAGCTTACGGTCAACCCAGGGGGCTGAGTCTGTCTCTGTAATAACCAGATGGAATACTGTTGAAATTTACTGATGTAAACATGTTTTCTGTCACAGCTTTCCTTAGTGTAGAGGTCTACCTGCTGCGCCCTCAGAGTCCTCAGCTCCTGCTCCAACCTTGTCCTGAGCCTCATCTCTAGACTCTCCCTTTTCTCGCACGTTGACTGCAGCTGAGCCAGCGCGCTCTGGAGCCTCTCTACCTTCTCCACATACGCTCTCTTTCTCCTCAGCTCCTCCTCCAGCTGGCGACCTCGTCCCCGAGCCGCCTCAAGAGCCTCCTCAAGGCGCTTGGTCCTAATGCTCTGCTCTTCCACCGTCACTCGCAAGCGCTGTATCTCCCGATCCGTACGCTCCCGCTCAGCATTCTGCTCCTCATCTGAAAGATAAAACAGAATCGAAAGGTAAGTCTTAATAAATGTGGGACCGCTTCAGGAGTAAGTGTAACATGAAAACCTTTTTGGTGGAATTCTAAGGACTTCAACGTGTTATACCAACCTTGAGATGCAACATTCAATTTGTCAGGGATCGGAATTTTCAAACTTTACCCCGATTAGCTCTGATTGGTGATTCGTAGAAGAAATACTAAAAATAATTTTTCTTTCCATTACTGAATGCAGCACAATTATGTTTATAATTGCTTTTTGACAAAAACAAAAACCGCATTTCAACACCATGACATACATAGACTAATATATATATATATGTATTATTAGTGGAATATCATCATTCCTGTATTTTCTTTTAGTTTATGAAAAATCACTGGCATCAAATCCTTACAACTATTATTTTTCCTCTTTCGAATTATCGAATTATAAAAAAAGAAGTTATAAATCAACATGAGTCAAATGAGAAATCGACAGGCCAGACCACAAAGACAAAGCGTGTTCGCCACATTTCTGTATGAAGCGGATTTCAAAACCCACGTAATAATTTCCAGAGTTGCAACATGGTGGCCAGTGTTCTCCATTTAGTGAAACAGTTCTGGAATGCAAAAAAAAAAAAAAAAAGACGAGGGAGGAGGAGGAGGAAGGGGGGGGGGGGGGGGGGGGAGCTTCCCCATCCCTTTGACCCACATAGCACAAAACATTCCTCATCAAGGCCATACAAACACCAGCACTCTGCTTGAGTCCAGATCCTCAAACAGTCACCATAAATCACATTCCCAACAGGTGGGTTTTGGGGGGTGGTGGGGGGTAATTCCTACCACCTCTGCTGCTGCCCTATGATTAAAGAAAATTAAAATGCTTCATTTCCTTTTGCTAAAAGCTGCACGGACCAAATTCCCTCTTAATAAGCCTTCTTAGCCAATCAGCCAAAGTTATGCAAGAGAAATCCTCATGTAAAAACCTCCAGGAAGGGGCCCCATGATATGCTGAAATCCAGCTCAGTCATGCATTGAGTTTCTAAAACAGACACCAGCCTTGGATGTAGTAAGACCTTTGCTAAGGGCCATCTATTAACAGGCATGATTTTGTTTGGAAAATTAGCTTTACTGTTTTTGTGCTGCAGATCTCAAAGTTGGTTTGCTGAACTTAACACCCAAGTGTTGAGTTCTTCATTTGATAGAGCAATGAAGCAGTTTTACCATGGTGGACTGACTGAGAATAAACATAAAAAAACCCCACTTCGAAGTCCTTCATCCTCTCACATCAGGGATTCTAGGATAACATATAGCTGACTTGTAAGCACACCAAAAACATCACTGCTAACTAATTGTTTGCAACTAATGATGCTAAAGTTTGCATGTGTGCTTAGGAGCACACATGCAAACTGGAGGGTAAATAATATTTTGGAATACATTTAATTATCTTGGATTCGAGGCCTAAGTTAGCTTAAATGTGAAAAGACAGATTTAAGCCTTTTAGTCTACCTTTAACAGTGATGGCTTTAACTGTAGCACCGTGTAAAATATAAAAACAAACACTTGACTTATAAACATGTTATATAACTTTATAATCTGAAGGTATTGTACGCCCAAAGCTTTATAGCTTTAACACCTTTAAACATAGTTGACAGTAAGCTTCAGATGTACTATTGATGTGCTTTAGTTTCAAACCCAGATCCCTATCTTCAAACCAGACCATGCTAATTATGTACTTTTAAAAGTCAAAAGTACTTAGTAAACCCAAGGAAGAAGTAATAAATGTGTAACTTTAGACATGTAAGATATAACAGCAGATTATGTAAAACTCTGTTTTGGTATTTAAAGACTTAAAACTAAAGCTTTTAATATAATTTAAGACCCTGTTAAAACCCCTCCCTGAGCTATATAATTGTAAAGGGAATAGGGATTCCTTCATTTAAGTATGGAATTTCATTCTAACTGTAAAAAGATGAAAACCATCATTTATTTGGGGTTTTGTTTTGGCCAATTTGGATTTTGATATCCCAAAGCGATAACAGAATCAGATGCCTTTGTGTTTTATAATATCTTTATTGGTTTTGTTCAACAAAAAAATGGTGGATTACAAGTTTTTGTTTTTAGTTTTTACCTAATCTTGTTGTTCTTTCAGAGAACACAATTTAGGTAAAGCAATGTCATGTAAAGTTTTGGAATAGAAGATTAGAATTCAACTTTTTTGTCATTACACTGTCACAAGTACAAAGCAACGAAATTCCCTCTCTACATTTAACTCATCCCCTTGGGGAGCAGTGGGCTGCCACTGTGCGGCGCCCGGGGAGCAGTGTGGGGTTTAGGGTCTCGCTCAGGGACCCAGAGTGCAGGCCGTGGGGATCAAACAGGGTACTTGCAACCTTCTCAGAGCACAAGCGTACTGCTCTAACCACTAGGCCAACACACAAGTCAAGCTCTGATAAAAAAATAAAAATCCACAGATGCCAAATAAAGTAACACACTTACTTTGTTCAAGGAGTTTAGCCATGATGTGCTGGTTGTGGTCGGCCACCTCTACTTCTTTAGCTGCGTGGGTTCTTGCTTTGTCCAGGTTTTCTGTGATGCAGTAATGTTTATAAGTTAGCCCAAACAGCATCTGTTACTGCGTCCTGCCTCTCTCTCTGATACGGGATGTTTCTTACCTCTGAGGTCTCTGTTAAAATCTTGCAGCCTCCTGATCTCAGCCACCAGCCTCCTCCTCAGCGTCTGTTCCAGGTTTTCCCTTTTACTGCTGCCCTGCATCAGCGTCTCATAAGCCTCTGAAATGCGCTGAATCTCCTGCTCCAGCTAGAAATGGAGCGAAGAAAAGAAAAAGAAAGACATTTTTGGTTAGCTCAGCTTACATGCCACAGAGGCTCTGGAATGGTAATTCATGCTTTTGCAATGCAGCTCTTAAACAGAAATGTGTGTTTCCAAGACACATTTCACAGTAGGGTTAGGGTAAGTAAGGTATGTTCTAAGATTAGGTTAGTAATAATCTGTGTGCAGTTGTGGGGGTTCGTGTGTGGTATTGTTCTGAGAAGGAAATCAAGCCTGCACCACTCCCTTTAAGACTGATTTATATCTACATTCCTGAACGCTGATAGCCGCAATTCCAGGTGTGTGTGTGTGTGTGCGCACTTGCACTGGGGCATTTAAGGCAATAAGCATAACGAAAGACTGACAAGGATTTGGGAAAGTTGCCAGTAGGAGGGAAGGTGTACATGCCTGAGCCTGGGCTGTGGAAACGGCAAATAGACACCCACCATTACAGCAGTCACTCAGGCATGTTTACTCAGGGCCGCGGCCCGACGGGGAAAACTTTCCAACCCTGGCAATTATCATTCTTAAGGGCTGAGGCACAGCAGAAGCCATGTGACATAACCACGACAGAAAGTAGATCGATTATTATAAAGATTTGGCAGAGGTGTTGAGTGTCACCGAGGCTGCTGAAGCTGAACAAGGATATTAAAGGCATGTTGGGATAAATCAGGAGTGAAATAGGGAAAAGGAGCCTCTTAAATCCAAAAAGGATGAGAAAAATATGCTAATTTATTTTTTTCAACCCCAGTCTACCACTTTACCCTATTACCTAACTAAACGGCTGCCGTGTGACAAGGCCAGTGTTACCCAGAAAATCAATGGCCTCTCTGAAAATAAAGCAGGCGCACAAGGGCCTCCAGCATGTCAGCTAAACAATGAAAGAAGTGTGCAAACACAGGAGCGGGTTGTGACCTCTGTTTGTGGCCCTGCATTAAGGAAATGTAGCAGCTGCTGATCTCATCTGTTTGTTCACAGGAGGGCTATGTGCTGGCCCCAGCAGTTCTCCAGATATCTTGGATATCAAGAGAGCAACTGTCAACTGGAGTTGGGTTTCAAAGGCAGAAAGTTGAGAGGAAGATTTTACTGTAGAGCTTTTAAGAATTTAATTCTCATATTTTTGTATTTTTTTTCCCAAGAATTAAAAAAATGCACCCTTTTTTTAATTTTCTTGCATATTACTGAAGGAACCATCAGATTCTTACCTTCTGAATGCGGCCGGTCTTCTCCCTGTGACTTTCCACCTCTTGCCTCAGCCTCTCATTTTCCATCATCAGCAGCTCCACCTGGTTTGGTTCCTCCAAGCCAGCAGGTGGCAGACTGTTAAATGTGTTGTAGCTGGGTACGTCTGGCTGATCAGGCTGGACATATCTATGAGAAAAATGTATCTTGTGATAAGAGGCAGAGTATGGTGGGTCTAGCTGCCTTGTTGTGTTAGGTCAGATTTGATAGCAGCCTTATTTTAACAAAAAAAAGGTCATCTTAAAGGGATAGTTCGGTATTTTTGACATGAATCTGTATGGCATCCCGATCACCAGCGGCATGCAATCACACTGACTTACCCCTGGCAGCGTCCTGTGAGCAGAGTTATCGTCCAGTTTTGGTCAAGCCGAAAGTAGTCCTGCAGGTTTTTAGGAACAGCGAAATAAAACTTTTCTCTTCCCAAAACATTATGTGTCCAAAAGAGTGATATTTTCGCATCCCAAAAACATTGTAGTGGAAAAAGTCACACGTCGTTATCAATTGGTCCTATTTTCTCTCTGTTCGTTTCAGTGCGCGCCGTCATTCAGACAGCGAGCCCAACAACAGCCATGTCTCCCTCCGCCGCGGAAGGAGACATGGCTGTTGTTGGGCTCGCTGTCTGAATGACGGCGCGCACTGATACCAACAGAGAGAAAATAGGACCAATTGATAACGACGTGTGACTTTTTCCACTACAATGTTTTTGGGATGCGAAAATATCACTCTTTTGGACACATAATGTTTTGGGAAGAGAAACGTTTTATTTCGCTGTACCTAAAAACCTGCAGGACTACTTTCGGCTTGACCAAAACTGGACGATAACTCTGCTCACAGGACGCTGCCAGGGGTAAGTCAGTGTGATTGCATGCCGCTGGTGATCGGGATGCCATACAGATTCATGTCAAAAATACCGAACTATCCCTTTAAGTACCATCATATTATAATTAATCAGACAACAGACAGGGTTGTGCGTTTTTTGTACCATCCTAAATATGGAGCACAGTCAGAATACCAGAGACTACTTAGGTATCTGTGAAAATGCTGCTGTCGTATGCCAAACATTACAAACATCTACAGGGCAGGACTTGTTCCTCTGCAAGTACTTCTATATCTGATTCAGTATGCAGACTGTAGCGTGACTCATATCTGCAAGTATGTGTTTATGCATGTGAAACACAAAGGCAAGTATTGGGCGGGCTGAGAGGTAATACCAGTGATGTGATGTAACGCCACAACAGTCTCTAAAACACATCAACAAAAATGTAGTGATGTAAAACAAAGTCCCTCTTCTTTACCTGTGAGGCCGAGCCAGTGTTGGTTCCTGGACTTGGTGAGGGATAAAACCCTGGCCCTGGATGGGACTGCTGTATTCTGGGGGTGGGCTTCGCTTGGGTGCGTTTTGCGCCGTCCGTTCAATGCACTGTGGGGTGTAGTAAGGGAGCTCGGGATAGCTGTGAGAGTTTATTTTAATGGCTGCAGATTTAGCAAATACATCTCTTCTCTCCAGAGACATCTGCATGAGGTGTTCGCTGAGCGAGCGCACGTGGCTGCATTTTTGCCCCAACAGATCAGCTTCTTCATGGAAGGATCCATCACCCAGAACAAGCTGCCCCTCGTGGAGCTGATTGTGAGTCCAGTGAGAGGATGGGTACTGAGAGTGTGCTTTGGCCTGCTCGTAGGTTGGCAGCTTCTCTCCGTGTAGCTGGAAGCCACTTTCTGAGTGATGGTAGTCCCCTTGGTGCTCCTGGCCCTGTGGCTCCTGCCTCGCTGAGAGCTGGGGAAGCAAAGGGTCCTCCTGAGTGAGGCTTTCCAGAGAAGATCTGGGGCTTCTGGTCATTTCTCCAGCACTGCTGGGTCCACTGTTGCTTCCACTGCCTCCACGCAGGGCCTGCTGCTGGATGGCAAGTAAAGTGCGGGTGTCTGTAGGGTTCCCATAGCGGAGCTGCTCCTGGATGAGCCGGTGTAGGACTGTGCCAGACGGCTCCTCAGTGGAAGACATAGTACAGTGTTAGAAAAAAAAAAAAAAAGGAAAGGTTTTCTCTAAAAGAACCAGTAGAGCTGCTTTGCTTCCAAATAGGATTTATTTTTCAGTAAATCAGCTGTGAACCTGAAACATAAAGAGACAAACATACAGATGATTAAAGATCTACATGAACAAAATGTAAAACCTTTGTGTTAAAGTGAAGGAACAGCAGCTCCAAGTAAACATTGCAAACAGCGACATTCCTGGTGACTTTATGTCATTGCAGGCACAAAAAAAAAACTAGATGCACCAAAAATTATTTTCTGTTGGGGGAGCAAAAGCGCACAGAACCAAGCTTTTATAGTTTACACTTTTAAAACTCGAATATCAAAACTTTTAAACAAACAAACACATATAAATTCTTCAATCCTGACAAGATGATTAACTCATCATTAAAAATGTAGCCTCTTTATCCTGGTGCGGCTTTGGATCTAAAAACAGCTTCTCTTACCAGCTTTCATTGACAACACAACGCTCCGCTCGGAGTGGATTCAATCCTAAAGTATTTCCAATATTTCCGATGGGTTTGAGTCGAGTTAAACGAGCCTCATGTCGCCTCGCGCCTCTCTTTCTGTGAAATGACTATGGAGAGAGCAGGCGGCGATAATAAGTAACCGAGGAGGGACTGAGGTCGGAATGCCAGGAATGTAAAACGCGAGGTCCCTCAGGGATCAAAAGCGTAAAAAAAAAAGAACGGAGGGAGGAGGAGAGCTGCGCTTTATTAGACCAATGAGAAATGAAAAGCCAACAGAGAGAGAAAACATGAAAAGTCTCTCATAACCTTTAAGATAATATACTAACATTAAAATGAAACCCCAATCACTCTCTAAAAAATGTTCAATTTCATTTAAGAACAAGAAAATGTTGTATTTTAAATTGTGACATCATAAAAAAAAAACTAAATGCAACCAAGTCTTTTAGTAATAAATGTCTATAATCAACATCTCAAATCAACATCTATAATCAACATATATATATATATATATATATATATATATATATATATATATATATATATATATATATATGTGTGTGTGTGTGTGTGTGTGTGTGTGTGTGTGTGTGTGTGTGTGTGTGTGTGTGTGTGTGTGTGTGCATAGATAGATAGATAGATAGATAGATAGATAGATAGATAGATAGATAGATAGATAGATAGATTTTCACACCAGATGTTTTTAAACCAGTGCAGAATTTACCCTGAGAATCTCTGTTTAACAGGGATTCCTACAGGAGTATATCACATAGATGAGGAATGTTGTTTTGCGATTCATGAGGTTTAGTATGACTGCCAGTGGGATGATACTTGGCCAACAAGCATAAAGATCTTTCTCCTAAACATATATATATATATTTATATATATATATATATATATATATATATATATATATATATATATATATATATATATATATATATATATATTATTTTTTAAGGTTATATGGACACTGCAATGTAAGTAGAACAGAAGAGGGAAAACAGAAAAAAGGAGAAACGATGAAATAAAGAGGACATAAAAGGGAGATAATAATAAAGCATTTTCAGTCTGCTTCATCACCTGCAAAGAGATGTAAAAAGAACAGCACAACCAATGGACATGGTACGAGACATACAATAAAGTAACACCTAGATACTATCGCTGAAGTTTTATTATTTAATCTGACATGTACTCTGTGTTACCTGAAGATAAGAATATGGGCTTTCTGTATGGAAGTGAATCTCTGAGTACCTAGAACCACTGGGTTTAAACTTAAAGGGTAACTCACCCCAAAATCGAAAATTTTCTTGTAATTTCATTTCAATTCAACTCAATTTCAATTCAGTTTATTTATATAGCGCCAATTCACAACACATGTCATCTCAAGGCACTTTACAGTTCACCAGATCAAATAGTCAAATTGATTCAAAGTTTTCTATCTAAGGAAAACCAGCTGATTGCATCGACTCATTGACTCGAATGCAATCCCTCACACTAAGCATGCTTGTAGCGACAGTGGAGAGGAAAAACTCCCTTTTAACAGGAAGAAACCTCCAACAGAACCAGGCTCAGTGTGAGCGGTCATCTGCCGAGGCCGACCGGGGTTCAAGGAGACAGAAGCAGAGATACAAAAAGCAGCTGTAAATAACCATTATTTTGACAGGGTACAGCAAATTTGTTAAATCCATCCTCGTGTTTAATAAGTGTACAGCGTCTGATTTTGAATCTCTACAGGCGGTGGCTTTGCCGTCATTATAATGCCTCTCAGATAAATGAGGAGCTCTGCTGGGTGCCACTATGTGCTGTAAAAGAATTGCTCCCCTATTAGCTAGTTGGAGTGTGTGTAGCTGTAGATCAAAGTTTTTGCAGTTTCACTGTAAAATCATTCAGAAGCTGTACCTTTTCTATTGTCTGATAGTTTAGTAGGCATGGCCACACAGATGGCTTCATGTGTCTCAGGGATTCTAACTGGTATGCCTCAATACCCCCCTTTTCTTATGTCCTTATAGTGGAAAAAAAAACCTCCATCACATATGATTGCTGAATTTGTCTAAAAATGTTCCTCTCTGTAATCATTTTCCAAGTTTGTGTCACTGTCACATTGCTGCCATCAACCTCTCTGTTAATCACAGCTGAGACCACGCCCAGCCCTCTCTTATTCGGGTGCTTTCCTCAAACAATAGATGTGGGCAGAATATAAGAATCTGGAAAGGGGCCTTTTTTTTTTTTTTTTTTTGACTAATGCAGAGATTTCTTTCTTTAAACCATAAAGTTAGAACTGAAGTTGCAGTAGTTGACTACTCATAATCAGTCTGGAAAAATTATAAGATCTTACAAACTTTAACTCCTTGAAATTTTTTTTGTATGGTTGATTTCATATTTGTAAGAAAATGTTTATTTGCCGCTTGCATACCATAAAAGTGCTGTATTCAGCTTTTGGTGCTTTAAAGAAAGGAAAACGATGTGATTGCACGAGGTGTACTGCTTGTATATAGATTATGGAACTAGCTGGTAGGATTGGACTCACTCAAAAATCCTAAATGAGAACTGCTGCTTTTAGATTTTCTGTGATAATTCAAAAAACAGCTTGGGTAAATATTAAATAGGCCATGTTTTTTTAAAATAACATTGTAATTTTAAATAACTACTGAAAATCTTTTGTGATAAAATATTGTGATTCAATCCTACCCCAGTCCTTTTTATAAACCTCTGCTTTTGTATTCTCCTGAAATGTTTTATGACAAGGTAGAAAATAATAAAAATAAACTGTTTTGATGAGATAAGTTAGAAATCTTGCAAATGAAAACAACAAAAAACTGAAAAAATGCAATTATATATACTCAATAATCTGAGCAGTTTCATAAAACTTATGTGATGTCACTAAAGGCAGCTTGATGGAAACTCCTTTTTAATATGGTCTATTTATACCCGATGCATATGATTTCCAGCAGCAAATCTAACAGGAAAACTTAGCATTATGAAACACTGTCCTATCTGACCATTAATATCTAAAGTGAGGTTGATTAAATTCACAGGAATGTCTTGCTGGTTGCTTTAATTCTAAACTACACTAAAAAGGTTTGAATCTGAAAAGGGGGATATCAACCTCCTTATATGGATAAAATGGAGACTTTAACCTCCAAGGCTTTTTTATTTAAACATGATTTTGATAGGCAGTGCAGTTAAACTTTTAACTTAAAAACAGAAATGCATAACTTGATGATTTTCCTTAATCTATTAGTTTTAAGTGCAGTGTTCATACTGAAACTTACTAAACTCTGAAATAAATGTTTTCATTTCATATACAAATCTGACTCTATAGACATCATTCCATGTATTTGTTGGTTTCAGTGGTCAAAAATATTAAATGGAAGTTTTATTAAAGGGGCTGCATGGTGGCCCAGTTTGTAGCACTGTTGACTTGCATCAAGAAAGTTCTGAATTTAATTCCTGGCTCAGGGTCTTTCTGCATGAAGTTTGCAGGTCCCCCATCGTGCATCCATGGGTTCTCAACTGAAACTCCATCTTCCTCCCACAGTCCGAAAACATGAGTTAGGTTTATTGACATCTAAATGTCCCTAAGTGTGTGTGTGCATGGTTGTGTGTGTCTCTTTGTGTTATTCTGTGATATACTGGCAACCTTTCTGGTCTGTACCCCGCCTTTTGCCCATAGGCTGTTGAAAATATGCACCAGCCCCACCGCAACCCTGACGGATGAAGCGTAAGAAAATGGATGGTTTAAAAGTATCTTTAACGTTGAATAATTAGAAATAACAATACAAGTAACAGTTATGACTACCCTAAATCTTCTGTTAAAGTTATTTATGACCATACTATGCTGCTGTTATTTGAAAATTAGCTTGTTTTTATTAGCAATATGAAAATTTTGCTTTATGTGTTGATTTCCTTAAATCTGCAGTAGAGTTTCATTTTTATGCTAAAAGCTTTTATTTAAATATGTCTGATACTATATATGTAATATTGTCTGGTTTTTTAAGCTAAGAGTCCTTGACTTAGTTTTACTGAAATGATTTTTTGGCCTCATGCCCACTCACCCCTAGATTTTCACCCACAAAAAATGCTGAATTCCAAAGCTCCTTCCAGGAACATTCCTGGAAATGTCTCTCAGAAATGAATAGCTGTTGAAATGCCCCATTATTTTGCCCTTTTGCAAGTATAATATCCATATGGAAAGTAGTTCCAGCTATTACATTTATTCTAGAGGGAATAAAGGAATGACTGCAGCAGCATGTCACATCCCTGAAGAAATCCACTATTGTGGTTTTCGCCACAGGTCACTGTTGGTTAAGCTGTTGCGTCTGTTTTAAGGCTGTTACACATGCCTTGCATGTCTGTGTCTGTATGGCATCTGTTCTTTGGGATCTTAGGTATTTGAACCTCCACTATTACCCGCACAAAAGTCATTTGTGCTGCACATGATACAAAACAACAGCCTGACATGATGCCACAGTTTGGTTTTACTCAACATATATCCCAATCTCAAACCTACAGAGGATACTTCTTCACTCAATAACTCTGTTTATAAGAGACAAATAGTTGCCTAACAGTCTCAGAAGGCCAAACCATAGCTCACTTTGATATGGGTGTCAGAGAAATGCTCAGTTTTGCTTTCTTTAAAAGATAATTCTCTAATTTGAAGGAACAAGACGAGTAACTATTTATCATGTAAGATGATAAAACCAAACCAGCGCTAAGTTTAATGTGATAAACACGACTCTGACTCATGCCCTTTATATAGCAAAGGTTTCTGTTACAACATGCTAATCATATTTTATTTCTGTCCAACACAGAGAGTTGAATACATGCTTTCAAAACTTTAAGAATAGATAACTCTAATGCTCTGCTTTCTGGGTTTCCCATAAAGAGTATAATTTCTCTGTGATGGGAAAAGCCACACAAATTGTAACAAAGACCAGTGAGAGAATTTATATTACCTAAAGCTTGACATATTTTTGCATTATCTACTGATTATTTGTGAATTTTATTTTTAGATCATTCTGTTAGGACTGTTAAAACCATGGTCTTAGTTCTACATATTCAGCAGATTTACTGTTATTGAGTCAAGTCCCCCAGGTCTTATGGAAAAGCTCTTTTGATTATACTCAGAGAGAAAAAACAAAAAAACATATTGAGGCATCATCCTTTTATT